TGCCCTTTTTCAAAGCGTATGGCAACCAGGCTAAGCTGAGGACCTAGACACAGTCTTTTTCCCTTGGGTGACCAGGGGTTAAGCCAAGAACCCCAACATATTGCCCAGTGGCTACATGTCTTCACCTCTGAAAGTAGGAATTACATTGACGAATACCAAACAGAGGGAGGATTGCACAAGTGTGTATCTAGACGGTTGTTCGTTCAACGTGCCGTCTACGGTAGGAGTGCCTGCTGCATTGAACCCTGATCGGTTCGAACCCTGTACGGTTCCATTCGATTGAGCCCTGATCGGCTACTAGTAAATGAACCCTGATCGCACCTGAGGGATATCTGCGTTGGATCAACGCAAAAACCATCCAGATCCATTAACTGTCAGGCTGGAATCAATTCGCTCGAAAAAAGAGCCTCGCAGATCTTCAGCCTTGAGTCCATTGGGCCCATCAGGTGCAGAAGCTAGCAAAGCTTGAACATCCTCCCACCGATCTGTTCTGTTGCGAAGCCATGTCCGACTTGCACGGAAAAAGTTGGGACGATAGCTCAAACAAGTGGCAACATGGAAAAAGCATGATTTAAAAGTTTCTCAAACGCCTGGCCTGTTACAGCCGTCGGTCAGCAAGCACTGCGGGGCTGCGGCAGCTTGGTAAGACTTGCGAACTGCAGATGCTTGGCCGTACTAATAGGACATGCGCTGCAGGGCTGCGGCATTCTGTAAGACCTGCGAACTGCAAGCGCAGTCCTCTAGCGGGGTTTGAAGTGCCTAACGTGGGCCACCCCTTTTCTCTTTTTGCTTTTCCTTTTTCCACATTTGTCGTTTCAGAGTCACATTTGTCTTTCTTTTTCAATTCTCTCAGCCGAGAGGCCTTTTTCAAACCCCAACGGCGGCCTACAGCTGCATCTCTTGTCTATTTCGCTTTAAAGCTTCACAGCCAACCGCCAGCCTTCCTGTGGACCCTTTTTCTTTTATGCCCTAGCGGCTTTCTGTGTGTGGGGAACTTTGCCACCAAAAGTCCTTTTCATGTGTCCAGTATTGCAGGGGACCACCGGGGCCNNGGCGGTGGTCAACGAAGACCCCCCCGGTAAGCCCGTGAAAACGCACCTGCCTTTTTTCAATGCGTATGGCAACCAGGCTAAGCCGAGGACCTGGACACAGTCTTTTTCCCTTGGGTGACCACGGGCTAAGCCAAGAACCCCAACATATTGCCTCGTGGTTACATGTCTTCACCTCTGAAAGTAGGAAAGTACATTGACGAATCCCAAACAGAGTGAGGATTGCTCAAGTGTGTGTGTGTGTGTGTCTGTGTGCGTGTGTGTTTGTGAGATTCTGTCATTAAGAGTCAACATGTTTTGCCGTGGGCCCCCGAGGGCTCATCGACCGTAGCTTACTGCTTCGAGTGTGTTGACAGTACAAGTAAATGTCGTCAGGTCTGAAGTGTAAGGCATATGAATCAGACTGACTTTCCTTGGGATGAAGGATTGAGCAAGTGCTTCGAGACTTGCGACACATTGTGTCAAACGCGTGTGTGTCTGTGTGTACCGGTTTTTGTTTGCATCCTCGTTTCAGTTATTCTTCATCGTTCAAGCAAGCTCCTGCTAGGTATCCTGAGATCTTTGTCATGACCGGTGGTGGAAACGTGGGTCTTCGTGAGGCCGTGAGTGCATAAGCTTCCGAAAATTCAGCGGCATGTGGTATCTTTCAGGTTTTGGGGGCAGATGCCGTCTCCGTCCTGCTAATGCCTCAGAGGCTTTACCCGACATGTCACATGTGATGCATGGAGGCTGCTGGACCAAGTAAGTCTGCACCATGTCATGCCGTGCCGGGGTTTTGCACACCCTTCACATTGTGAAGACTTCGGGATACTCTCTTTCACCGGGTTGGTGATCGCAAGGATAGGCCAAGGCAGTTCAGGTGGCACGGTTGGCCTAAAAAAGGAACGTCCCGTGACCATGTCGAGGAGCTTGCTGATGCGGCTGCGAGTGCCCTCCGAAGCACGCTCTTCACGATCTGTTTCTTCTTGAACTCTCCAACATGACCACAAGATACTCCTTTCGGGGGCAGTGGTTGTCCATCGCTGCATGGTCCATCTTGCTTCGGTCAGAACTTGTCAATGGCTATCCAAGCAGTATATGCTGCGGCCCTCTGCCATCGGAGTTCTGAAACGTTTCCGATTCGACCTCAGTTTTATGCGAATGGCCAATGAATCACGGCTTGACACCACGACGATCCAAGAAGCTGCATTTCGCAAATGGGTTCAATGGGGCTACTCAGTCGTGGCGGCGCAACATGCAGTAACTGGACTCCCCTGCCCCATGCTTTCGGAGACACCTAGGGCGCACATCTCAGGCCCCCACCAACACGTACAAAGCCCGTCCAAGATGCCCCTGGGCTGCAAGCGACTCATACAGTGAACTGTTGACAAGAGAAAGTCGTTGTGCCCACAAGGACGCAACAGCGCTGCCATCAGACTTCAACGACAAGGAGACAAGAGAGCTAGATTGAGCCGCTTATGACATTTGCTGCGCAGGACTTTCGTGACATAGACTGCATGTTCGATGAAGAGATCCAGAAGGACCAAAGCAGAATCCGAGAGGTGCTGAGCGCTGTTTTTGCGAGCGCAAACAATCGCTGCAGGATGTAAGAGAGATGTTGGAAGTCCTTCGTCATCAGCTTGAAAAGGCATTACTTTTGTGAACGTCTGTCTCCATACACTGCAGTAGTGAGCATTCATGGCATCAGCCAGGTGTCCTTCCTGGCGGTTGATTGCGCTGTGGTTGGAGGCAGGCCGATAGCATCTTCTGGCAATCTGCCGATTGCATGCTGTGCTCCGTAAGACGTGCGAGGTCCTGTGGGCCAGGGGTTGCACTGCCGTCACGGTGCCGAAATAGTCCTCTTTGTGAGGTACGCAGGCAGGCGTGCAATGCCCAAGCTGGAACCAAATTTGCACAGGCAACTGCCGTTCAAAAACTTCTCGCAGTGGCTGCCACACCTCGTGGAGACGCTGACGCCGGTGCCCCTCTCAGCCTTGAAGAACTTGCAACGAAGAGTTGACTAGCTTTTGAAGCGCAGTCAGATCAAGCATTTCGGATTATTTTGGACAGCACCGCCTTGCCGAGGTTCTGCAGTTTCAGCTGGGCCAGCTTGCTGCCCTAAAAATTGATTGTGTCAAGGTGGGCTAGCTCTTGCGATGTCTTTGATTGCATGTGCTTGCTGCTACGTGCCGAAGAGCTGCGGCATCCTTGCATAGCCCGATCGAGGCAGACAGGGATCGCGTACACTTCGATCTTCTAGCAGAGGGGCTCTCCATTCCCATCGAGGCCGGGAAGACGTGCTAGCGCATGTGGTACAGAGGGCGATGACGCGGGAGGTCTTGTTGTCACCTATCTTCAAGAGCCGTGCTCACCTGATGGAGTGAGCCACCAGCATGGCACTCCATCTTTTTGAATCATTTGGTGCGCTCGTGCAGGTGTATTCGGGATTCACCTCCAGATGAGCGCCTCTACTTTTATGCCGCTTTCGTGCGAGAAAGGAACGAGCTGATGGCCGGACAAAGTACTGATGTGAAGGAGCTCACTTAGGGCCTGTTGTGGCTGTACGCAAGCAGCTTGATTAAACCTCCATCTGGAGGCCATTATGAATTTGATGTTGTGGTGGGTTTCCGTGCAGCCGTGGTCAATCGTGCGCTGCTCAGCCTTCTCAGCCTTCCGCTGTCCGACTCCGCACTTTCACTGTCCTCGAGCTGAGGCATCGGTGCGCCCGACAAAGTGGCTTGTGCAGCCCAGACCTCAAAACCCTTGGCCTTCGCAGTGGAAGGGCCTTGCCTGTGCACTTGCGAGGCTCCTGACGCTGCGCAGCTGCCGGAAGGTCCAGAGCGATCGCAGCAGGCTTGTGGCGGCGGTCCTGCGGAGCTTCGCGGATTTGGCGTCGCTGAAGGCAAGGCATTGTGTAAGAAAAGGCATGCTTGTTTTGCTGTTCCCACTGGAGGAGCTCTGGGAGGACGCAGACACATCTCTGTGTCTCTACGTCTCCCAGGATGTGTGGAAACCTTTGCTCGGACAGAGGCCGCTGGTCATGGAACGCTTCTCAGTTTTCAGGCTTCCAGTGTCGTGCCCGCACCCCCTGGGCAGAGTTTCATGGGGGGCCTTTTTCGAGGATCCCGTTAATCCATTCTGCAATCTCCTCGACGGTGCTGGGCCCGGGCTTGTTCATGTCGAGCTTCCATTTCGTCTTGTCAAGCTCCATGTGCCTCTCACGTCGCCAAGGTTTCGATGGTAGCGAGCTGATTAAGTACGCTCAGCCGCCGGTGTGTTGGAGCGCATTCAGCGGCCATGCAGCAGGCCCGACTTGTTAATCCGAGGTGAAGGCATCAAACGTAGCCTTCTGCCAACTCGGGTGCTGGGATGAAAGCAGGGCCACCCGAAAGACTTTGCCAAACTCAGGCCGGCTGGGCGGTGCATCGTGACAGGAATAGGCAGGTGGTGTGCAATGTGTGCAGATGTGTCGCGTCGTGGGGCTGTGTTGATCAGGTCGCTCTCTAAGTAAACCGTGCTCCGTGCCGGTGTCGAGTGCGGATGGTTTTTGAAGTACTGCAGCGTCAGTCGTTCAGCATGTTTTTTTGTCTCCCAAAGCTGGAGAGTCTCGTGCATGGGAGAAGTCGAAGTCTCTGGAAGTTAGCCTGCCGTGCAGTGCATCCTGACCTGCATCAATGGCATTGTATGCCCTCGTGCGGGACTTGAGAGCTGCATTCGTCATGTGCACTAAAGCTGGCTCAAGGAGTGCCATCTCCAGTCCAACTGCTTAGCAGTAGCAACAATGGGCTGCGGTGCTTCTTCTGCGCATGGTCCGCTTCAGTCTTTCTTTCTTGGCTTTCGTTTATTCCAAAAATGTTTGTGTACAGCTGGGTCTCGTCCACTCAGTCCACTCTGCATGGTTTTTGTCTCAAGTGAGGAACCTCCTTATGTCCCTCACCAAGAGGCGCCGGATCCCAAAGCCCCTGTGGCGGCCAAGCACGAGCAAGTGAAGGTGGAAGGCGGGGCTGGCTTCACCGTGGCCAATCAAGCCTTCCGAGCCCACGAAGGCGGGAGGCACACTGCCCCGTTTCTCACCCTTTTGCTTCTTTGAGCCTGTCATCGCCAGCCCCTGCTCAGGTGATCCGGTTCGACCGAAGGGAGCTGGATTCTTGCCCTTCGTTCGCTTCGACACAGCTGCAGTACCGCCGCAGATTAAGGGTGGCGACCACATTTATTTACTCTTTACTTACTCGGAGGCTGCTATCGAAGGCAAAGAAGACGGGACCGTGTCTGCTGAAGACAAGGAGCTCAAGGGTTCATGCGTCTTCCGCGTTTGGCGGAAAGATGGAACCAATGCCGTGTGCAAAGACGGTGACGACGTTTTCTTTGAGCACGTGGACACAGGCAAATATCTGGAAGGAGCCACGGACACGACGCCGTTGTCTCTCGCAGACAAGGACGAGAATTCTTCAGGGCAGCTTTTTGGCTTCTTCAAGCAAGGTCGGCCCATGGAGATGAAGCACCGCGACACGGTGTACCTGCAGACGTGGCTGCACAACTACGTTGAATACAGGCACGCCATTAGTATCATTAGCGATCCAACAGGGTCATGGGATGTCACGCCACGGGGTGAGAGGCAAGCGACTTGAAGCGGTTTTGCATCATCTAACTTGCGCTGGTCAGACTGCAGGTACTTTGAGGACAGCAATCTGTACGCCAAGCGATGGCAGCGACGGGAGCCACAAACCCTGACTGTCCTCAAAAAGGCTGTGTTGGACTCGTCCACGACAGAGGTCGCCCGAAAGTTCCAGTTCCAAGCTTTTGATCTCGACGGGAACGGGACCGTTAGCAAGAGCGAGATCGACATGATGGTGACGCTCGTCAGAGGTGCTGAGCCGACTTTGGAGGAAATCGAGGAAATCATGGTGAAGGCGGATCCTGCACCTTGTCCTTGACAGTCTTCGACGAGCAGCTTCCACTCTTTGTTGCATACTTCTGCATTGCTTCTGGTGGTGCTCATGCGTCGCCCGAGGCCCACACCGGCAACATTCCGTTCCCTTCCTTCGCTTCCTGGGCGGATGCCGGTGGCATGTCGGAGGAAGAACTCAACCACGCCGAGGTGCTCGGCACCTCGGACTGGCGGTTTGATTTCACTCTGCTTTCTCGATCTTTCTCGCACAATTTCTTTTCACAATCCGCACGAGGAAACATCGCTCAGAGATGCTTCGACTCTCTGCACGAAGAGAAATGTCTCGTCGAGGCCTGGCTCGCCAGAACGGGCAGGAGGGACGTCTCGGAGGGAGGTTTTCTTGGAATCAGGTGCTGGGCACCATCGATGGCATGACTGTCCAAGGAATGGTGTCTCAGTATTCAGAGAACCTCAAAGCAGGAGCTTTGCATGTGTCACGCAAGCCCAACACAGATCCTGTTTTTTTGGTGCTGTTCCTTCGCCAGGAAGCGTCCGCGATCGGATTGTGGAGAAGGCAGCCGCTGAGTCCTAGACTCAGCTTGGCGAAGCCGAAGCGGCCGAAGCGCGGTGGTGCAGCTGCTGAGGTCGGATGGCTGGTTCTTCTCCGGCAACTGGAAGAATGCCATGAAGGCATTGCTGGAACCCGAAGTCGATCTCTGGGTTCGTTGCCTGAACGATGCGATGAAGGGCTTCGGCACCGACGAGAACTCGTTGTCAGCACTTGTTTGCACCATCCCGGAGCGACTACGCATTCCCATCTTCCTGAAGTATTACGAGACGGTGGGCAAGGGCCTCCTTGAGCATATCGAGAGTGAAACCTCCTTCAGCTACAAGAAGGCCCAGCCACGTAGCGTGTCCCGCAGCGCGTGCTAGGCCTGTTTCCGCTTGAACCTCGGGCCAGGTCATGACATGGCAAGCAATGGCCCCTGAGGATTGTCGCGCCAAAATTCTGAACAAAGCTATGGTAGGCATGGGAACGGCTGAAGACCAGCTGATCCGAGTCATTTGCCAGCTGAATTTTGGGGAGCGCAGGGAGGTCAAAGAAGCCTATCAGCGCATGTACAACAGAGACTTGCTGGAGCACATCAAGTCCGAGACATCGGGAGATTTCCAGAAGGCATTGCTTGTCATGCTGGAGGCTCGGCCACTTGTTGACTTGTTTGCTGTAGGGCCAGTTTAGGCATCCCCAACTGGGATCTATGCCCAGCTTTGCAGTGTGGAGAAATGCAGGCGGAAGAGGCGCCGTTTGATCTGGAAGCAGACTGCGCTGCTATGAAAGAGGCTTGATCGCTAGTCAGGGCCGTGTGCGACTGCGCGCAGCGACTTCCCTTGCCAGGCCATGGAAGGATGGGGAACTGATGAGATGACGCTCACGCGCATGATCTGCAACAAGACGCCACCGGCTTAGAGCGGCACGGCGAGTGCAGCCTGAAGCAATGCTCTCCTCCAGCGCTAAGATTCTACAGCAGTTTCCCAGGTCCAGCACGAACTATCGCGCCTTACAGCAAGCCTTTATTCCTGCATCACCGAAAGGTCGAAGCAAATGGAGGATGTGAATGCGAAGTTTAAGGAGCTGTATGACAGGCCGATATTCCGGTGCTCCATTGAATCGGACAGTTGCAAGCACACATGGGTCTGTCAGGGATCTGCTGGAGTGGGTGAAGAGTGAGACCAGTGGGTATTACAAAGATACGTGTCTTGCCTTCGAGTGGACTCTTGTCAGGGCTAGCACGGATGCTTTGGGAGCTTTGTTCCGACCTTTTTGCACTGAGGTTGGTCGGATGCATCCGTCATCCCATGAAGCAATTGGCCCACTCAGTGAGGGACTGCATGAAAGGGTGGGGAACAGACGACGAGGGACTCATCACATGCCTGGTCCACTTGGAAGACTTCAAGAAGGCCGCCCTGATCAAGGAGTACAACCTTGAGTTTGGACGCGATATTTTCAAGGACATCAAGGCCGACACCAGCGGTGCCTACGAGAAGGCATTGTGCAACCTGGTTAAGCCCGCTCCACAGGTTTGGGCGGAGTCCTTGACAGGTGCCATGAAAGGCTTGGGAACGGCTGACTGCCTCTTGATCAACTTCATGGTTTTGGCGAAGGATGACATGATGGATGTCAGAAAGCATTTCCACACTCTGAACGGCAAGATGCTAGAAGACTATATCGAGTCGGAGACCTCCGGCGACTACAAGAACACGCTGCTCATGCTGGCAGGAAGAAACAGCGAGGAGACCCGTGGGTGTACGCACGAGGGAACTCAAGACCTCCACATGCTTTGCACTGGCGGAAGAGACACAAGAAAGTTTAGAGGCTATGAGCCACGCGATGAATGAGACAATGAAAGTCAGCCGCGACCTGTTTTTCACTCACGGTCGCAGTTCAGAGTTTCTCCCCTGCTCTCAGGAGACCATCAGCATCGCCCCTGTCTACTGGGCGCAGCGCTGCAAGGATGCCTTGTTCAATGTCTGGAGCCCATGGACGGGGCCTTGCAGAGGCCTTTCAATTTTGAGGTTTCGGCTCTGCTCGCAAAGCGCGCTGAGGTTGACACCGTGAAAGAGGTTCTTGTCTCGATGCCGGCGACGGCCATCAAGCGGCACACGCAGCTGTACGAGGCGGTGTATGGTGCCTCTTTGAAGGAAGAGGCCCGCGCGCCTGGAGTCCATGGATCCTCCTCTGTCTAGAGACAAAACAGAGCACAGACAAGTTGTGCAGAGACAAAGCAGAGCACAGGCAAGGCGAATGCACAGCTATGGCAGGGTAGCATAGGGCTTGGTAGGGGGGGGGTGCCTGAAAGTCGGGAAACTGCGAGAAAAATCGCTTTAGGTGGAGAAGAAATGCAGCGAGAAGGGGACCTTCTTCTTTTTCACGAACTGGTGGAAGCACGCAATGATGTCTCTTCTCTACATGCCAGTGGAGCTGTACGTGCAACTCTCAGTCCCCATTGTCGAGACCGGAACAACGGCACACAAAGTTCTGTTATCAACCGAGTCCTAAGGTGAAAGGGCTTTGGGACGCCATGCACGGCTGGGGCACAGATGAATACACTCTGACTGGCTTGGCATCACGACCGAATTTTTCAGTCTTCTCTTTGCTGAGGGAACCCGAGCTTTGACTCAGGTGTGCACCTTGCCTGAGAACCTCTACGAAGAGATCCATGGCCTCTACGAAAAGACCCACCAGAGGCCCAGACTCATCCAGACTCTTAGACTGAGCTGATCTCATCCTCACATGCGGCTTGGGAAGGAAACTTGTAAATCATATCGAGTCAGAGACTTCCTTCAACTACAAGAAGGTCCTGAAGTACCAGGCCAGACCATCGGCGCTTGCTTCAAATTGTGTACAAAACTCGGGTACTGTTGGCAGTGAGGCCATGCCTTGGGCAGAGAGTCGCGCAACCACCTTGCATGGTGCGATGGCTGGCTGGGGCACATCCGAAGATCAGCTGGTTCGAATCATCATTTGTTCCACCTTCAAGGCAGCTTGCTGACGGTAGCCGGGGCACGGGGTCTTTGCCTGAGCGCCTCTGCAGGAGCGGGCCGTCATCAGGGAAACCTACAAAAAGATGCTTCCTTTCATGCATTTCGATATTTTCTTTCAGTGTAGCAGAGCAGCTCAGATCCAACACCGCTTAAGGTTCAACCGAGACCTGATTCAGCACATTGAGTCCGAGACGAGTGGAAACCTGAAGAACATCCTCGTCGCTGTGCTGAAATGCACACACCCAAAGGCCTCAGTCGACTATGACACAGATTGTGAGAATCTGAAGAAGGCCATGGACGGAATCGGAACCAATGAAAAGGCAATCATACAGATTGTTGCTGGCAAGACACCCCAACAGATAGAGACCCTCAAGGAGAAGTACCAAGAGAAGTTCGGGGAGGACCTCTATGCGAGAATCGACAGCGAAACGTGGGATTATGGAATGAGCATGTTCATGACCCCCAACTTCAGGGCGGCCATGCTGGGTCTGATGAGGTCGCCCTCTGAACGGCTCGCATGTGCTGTCCGGGATTGCATCGTCGGTTGGGGAACTGACGACACAGGTCTCATCACCTTGCTTGTCCATCTCTCAGAGCGACAGCGACGCGATCTCGTGGACAAGTACAAGGAGATCAAAAACGGGGGTGACCTTTACAAGGCCATTGAAGGTGATACAAGTGGTGACTACAAGCGTGCGCTGCTCGCGCTGGTCAAGCCTCCCCCAAGAGTATGGGCAGAAGCCTTGTTATCCTCGATGAAGGGTCTGGGAACATCTGACAACCTGTTGATCAATTGGATGTGCATTGCAAAAGAGCGCATGGATGAAGTCCGAGAGCACTTCAAGGAGCTAGATGGTCGGGGTCTGGCTGCATGGATCGCCAACGAGTGTGGGGACAACGATTACAAGGACCTAAAGGTTTTCGGCGTATTTCCTTGCACATTCCGGCAGAAGGAGTTCTCTTGCGGACATGATCCTTCAACACACCCTTTAGAACTAGAGATCCGGGAGTCTCGTCTTGTGCGGCATTCAACGGCCATGTAGACGGGGTGAATTTCTGAGTTTCGTCACCCCGCAGGACACGCTGGTGCGGTTGGCGAATCGGCGCTGCGAGCGCTTCTCAGGCCAGGAGGTTGGCCTTAGCATCGCGCCGCCTATGACCAAGGAGGATGGAGCCGGGGGGCCCGGACTGCGAAGTGCTCCGCACAGGTTACATGATAACAGAGACTCTTAGGGAGAGATGGGGATTGGGGGATGTTTTGGCGTTCCACGTCGGTGAGCTGAGATTCTCAAGTTCACGACTACCTTCAACAAGCTCTGCAAAGCCCGGCGAGAAAAAGGTGACAACATCATTCCCGGCGAGGAGGACCAGCAGGACCAAGCCCAAGCTGCATTCTGCCAGCTGCGTTCCGTGACTGTGGTGCGCCATGTCATCAGAATGTTTAATGCTCGACAGGCCATGGGTAACGCCTTCTTGTACTACGGCTCCTTGTCCAGCTGCGCTCCGAACCTGGACATTCCAGGCCTGTGGGACCTGACCAATGCATGTGGCTTCCCACCTGGAGATGATGGTCCGGACCTTGTGGCAACTTTCCACGAATGGGATGTCAGTGGTACAGGTGAAATTACTTGGAACGACTTCGTCCGGGAAATGACGACTCGAATCAACGACCCTGGCCACTTCAATGCGGATCCGCTCCCCGAGAGTATTGACCAGATTTCCATTCCAGACAAGCCCTTGGGTGATGGCTACAAGAGCTTCATCAATAGCTTCAATGCGTCAGATGCAGACTACGAGGAGTTCGACGGTAACTCTGGAGCGCCAGCTCCACCGGCCGCGCGGCAAGCTGTGGACATGTACGCAGCATTTACGGACGGAAGCTGGAAAGATGTGCTCGCCAGCGTGGAGCCGGAGTGTGACGGGGAAGGCTCGGTCGATCGCATATTTCTGTGTGATGTGTTTTTCCGCTTTGGCTTTGGCAGGCCTCCTGGCTGGGCCTGGCCCTCATTGCCTGTCTTTTGGTGGTAAGGAGACCATGCAGTCTATGCACTCAGGCCCTGGGGAGACTGCATCGCGGCTGCTGTCCGGGTGGAGTGCACCGAGGAGGGATCCCATGCCTTTGACTTACAGAAGGGAAGATACGAAAAAGCCCCCCCCGGTATGTTCTGCGCAGGACTGGCAGGGCCGCTTTCCAGATGCTCCTGTTGGCCTCGCCACTCGGTACCACTGTGTTCTACATCGACATGATTCTGCCTGACACTTAAAGGCTTAAAGGTGCGTCAAGACCTATGCTGGGAGCTTTGCATGTTCTTAAATGTGAGCATGCACCGTCTTGCGAACAAACTCAAGCACATGTGTTCAGTAATTGCATCTCGGCCTCGTTCTTTACAGTGAGCTGGTGCGTTTGTTTGTGCTCCCCCTTTGATGTTGCAGGTGATCGATTATATGTGCTCAGTCGGCCACGACGGCTTCGTTGGACAGGCAGAGCAAAAAGAGCAGGCCGGGCACTGCAGTGACTCTTTGCTTCAGGAGTTGAGGAGTTACAGTGTCCTGACCCAAGACAAAGCTCGTCCACCAGGTTTCCTGACCTGATAACTACTAGTACCAAAGAGCCTTACAACTTCGTGCGGCCAAGAGCTTTCATGCCGTGCAGTTCTGCTGTGTTTGGGTATATGGGAGGCCTGCAAAGCAGCTCTGTGAGTGGCTCGTTGTCGCCTAACACAGGCGGGAAACAGGCACGTGTTTCACCTCTCGCACCCACGAAGGTCCGACAGGACCACGGTGAATGATAGCGACTGCGGCGCATTGGGTGTAACCCTCTGCACATGGCGCTACTTGAGACGAACACGCCGTAGGAGGTCCAGGGGAACCACCCAATGAGCTGCCGCGTCTTTGCTGCTTTCGTTTGACGATGTCGTCCACCTCTTCGAGGTGCGCCGCAAGCGTGACGGCTCGCAGCTGCATGATTGCTTTGAACTCCGGACTGCCAGATTGGCAGGATGCAAGAGAGTTTGTTTTCAAGCCTTGTCCCGATCCGAAGACTCTGAGCGTAAGCTTTAGGTGGCGATCTCTTGCTCGTCCGCAGCCATTGGAGGGATGGACGAGGATCAAACCTGCAGAATCCTGGAAGAAACGCTTCAAGCAGGATAGAAGAATCCCTCCATGATTTCGATGCCCTTACTTCATATTTGGCGACTACATGGCGTTAGGAGCAGACGCGTTCAGACGATGCAATGCAAGTACCATGTACTAAAACAGACTGTTCATAGCCAAGTTGGGATGTAGTTGTCTTGTATCATGCAGAGGATCTCTGCTGTGCAGCCGTGCGGGCATCACTCGCCGTTCGACCGAAGCCCGTCACGAAGTGACGCTAGGCCTCGCAGATCATTGCAGCTGCAACGCTGGGATCCCGTTTGGCGCATTCCGGCCTGGCATTGGAGACTGTCGGCAAGCTTGCTGGCACTTGGCAGCTTCAACAAACTTGGTGCTTGTCGACCCAATTTTCGGGCTGCTCGGCGGGCAACCGCGGAGAAGGCCCTGCTGCTCTGGCGCTGTTTTCCATGTGCCCATTGCAGTGGGATTTTCATGGATTTCCGGGGGTTCGGTTTGCAGGAGGGCCGATCAGTCAATGTGTCGCGCTTGTCTGAAGGCCTTTGATGTGGCTGAGCGGCGTCCCAGCAGCAAACTTTGCAGAGACCGATGCCTTGCTGTTGTGTCTTCTGCGGGATCTAACACCTGTCAAGACCTGCCGAATGCCCGACAAGTGAATACATTCCAAAAGAAGCCTCAGTGCTGAACTTGTTTTCTGATGCTTAGACGAGGTTTGTTTCCCGCTTCAATGACTACTTTGTGCTCTGGCTGGTTCTCGTGACTCTGGTTTCTGTGGCACGCCCAGAGATGCTTGGTCGACAGTTCAGGGCTTCACTTGTTTGCTGTGGAAACCGTCTCCCCGACCGCAACCGAGGACTTTCACTTGGGTGAACCAGGAATGGTTCACATGGCTTCTGGGCCTCTTAATGTTCAGCGTGGGTCTCTCGGCCGCAGGTGTTTCGCACCAGACCACTCCATTGTCGCTGCATTCTGGCCCAGAGTCCAGAGGCTTGACCACATCAGTGGATGATTTTCGCTCGAGCATCAGAAACTGGCTAGCCGTGGTGAAGAGCTGAGCCAGCGAAACGCTTGGTGGTACGCGACCCGTGGCTCATTCCTGTATGTCGCAAGGTTATCAATGCAGCCGCCTGCTTCTTGCTCATGCCGGTGGTAGCCCAAGCCCGCTTTCGTCGCGGGTGCTTCGGCAAGCGCTTTCCCAAGCTTTCCCAAGCTGGCAGGCGCTGGCATACACCTTGGCCGTCTTGATAAGGTGCACCGGGGCTTCTCCAGCTTAGGGATTCCCGTGCGCGAAAGGATCTTTAGGCGGGCGTGGCATCATGAGCCGCTGGGATTAGAGAGCGCCCCGCTCGGCCATGCCCCGCCCGCCTGCAGGGCCGATGCGCCAACCCTTGCTGGCTTGGTGCTGATCGGGTCGATCAACGGTGGCCACACCTCAAACCTGTGCACACTGATAGCAGCGGCCTGAGGCATTCGCAGGTCATTTTAGTTGGGTGCGTTGTTTCCTCGCCGTCAGGCGAAAGGGGACGTGGCCCTCAGTGTCTTGATGACGATGTCCACTACCTTGCTCTGCATCGTGGCGACGCCACTGCTGGCTCTGAGCCGAGCTCACACTCCAAGCGATCACATCGGCCGCCTGCGACTTCATGCGACTTGCCGAGGCCAAGTTACTGCTGGGCACAGTTGTCTCCGTGGATGCGGTGGGGATCATCCTGTCCACGGTAAAGGTCGAGATCTCGGAGCCTCGTGGGCTTCGGAACTTGCGTTTTTTTTGTTGCTTCCCTTCGGGTCAGGTGGTGCTGGCTCCCACAGTCCTTGGCCTCGCCTTCAAACAGTGGCTTCCAAGCACCTCGGAGAGGCTCCGCCCCGGTGCCACAAAAGAGGGCGGAATTCGCTGGACTCCTCTGCTTTCAGGGCGGCAAAGCTTACTCCCGTGCTGGGGGTGTTTGCGACCTGCATCATCGCCGGGCTCCCGGCAGCTCCGGGGCTGAGGCTCAGCCCAGGAGTCCTGTGCTTTTCACCTCAGGTGGGCTCCTCCGTGGCTTCCTGCCGACCCTACATCCTGTCAGCAGGCTCCTGCCTCGCCCTAGCCTAGCCTCCAAGCCTCGAAGGCTGTAGTTCCCAAGCTGAAGCAGGGATTTCGCGGGCTGACCCCAAGGTGCACCGCTGCAGCTGGCTATCCTGGGCCTTCATCTTTTAGGAGGTCCCGTGTACGCCCTGGGATCTGCGAGAACACGCGAGACTGCGTGATCTCTTCAGCCTTTGTCTGGCCGAGAGCGCCAGGCCTGTCTGGCTACGTGCTCTCACAAATGGCAGGGTGGATGCCTCAGGTGCGGAATACATGCAACCGGAACCAGAGCTTACTTGTGAACTTGAGCGTCCAGTGGGTTGTGGGTTTTGGTTCGCCTACTCTTTCGGGCAAGTCTTGGAAAGTTCGGGATGTTAGATGTCTCTGCAGAATGCGGCAGTGGTCGCATGAAATTGTGTGGAGTAGGCGCTGCAACATGGGCAAAGGTGCCTCCGTTACGCCGTTGAATACAGTGATGCCGTCGGGCACGAAATCGTAAGAGTCGAGGAGGCAAGAGCCAGCTGACAGCACATGACGCTGACGGCATTGTGAACTCCAAAGGGTTTCGGAGCCTGCAGCGCTTGCGAATGGCTGGTCGCCCACCGTGGTCGGTGCCCGGGTCATCCTGTTTGCCTACACGTTCCTGTTGCCCCATGGCCAGAATCAATTCCGTACCTACATGGCATGAGTATCGCGCCCTGGCCTCCACCCGGCGCCAGTGCTGTGGTCGTGGCTACGATGTTTTTCATTTAGGTCTCAATGGGCCGAGTGTGATAAGCATCGACAACCTCGTTTGCGGTCTGCCAGCACTGCTGCGCAAGCTTCTTTCCCAAGGCCTGACCGAGTTCCCGGGTGAGGGGTGCCTAAGGGACATAGAAGACTCGTGCCTTTTCTGAGCCTTGTCGGAGGCCGGAGACGGCCGCAGCTCGTCTTTGAGCCTTCGAGGCTGGCATTTCCTGGCCTGGACTCCATGGTGCCGAGTGCTCTGCGCCGCGATGTTGAGGCCTGTCTCGCACCGGCTGTTCGCGACCACGAACTTTTGAACTTGTTTCAGCTTCCCGCAACGTCAGCTGCCTCGTTCATTCGCTTACTGACAGAAGGGGAAGGTAACTGGACTTCAAGCCAGAAGTTCCCCCACATTGACTACGCCGCCAGCTTCGCTGCTACCATGGGTCTCAATGATTTTCGGGGAACGAGTGTCGGATTCTATGCGGCGAATGAACTTGGGGGCACCATGCAACTTCGAAGTCTCCCCGACATGGCCAAGTACAAGCTGCTGTCGTTGGCCCAATACGCATCTGATGGAGGGCCTCTCGAATCGCATGCGCAACTCGTATTCCACCGAGATGTGCTACAGAATCGGATCATCTTTTATCCAGCCTGGGTCTTGCACAAGGCGCATATTCCGAATTCAGTGGCTCAGCAATTGTCATCCAATCCGCTTCACGGCCGGCTGACCCTCAACCTCTTCTACACCACCGATGCTGGGACGGACATACGAGTAGTGAAGTGTTCTTGCTTCTGTTGGTCAGTTCTGGAGGGCAAGCGACTCACCGTTGTCCTTCCGATTCCTTCCCAGTCCGAGGACGACCATCCAGTCAGACTGGGTCAAGCTCCCTCCCAGGAGCCCGCGGATGCAGAGTTGCGAGCGCACCTCAAGGAAAAGACCTGATGTAACCTGACGCGATCTGACGCAAGCGGCGTGAGGGGTGTTTCGATACAATTTGTGAGCTCTTTCTACCGAGGTTAAGCACGGCAGCTTGCCGAACGGTTGCCATCGAAACCTCCATGAAAAGCAGCGTCCGAGACTCGGAGCCAAGAGCCGAGCCGCTCTGGGCTTTCCGCTTTGTTTTCGAGGCCGTGGGCTACCTGTTAGCTGTGCTCCACTTTCAGAACTTCCTCGCCCCTCGGCACTCTCAGCACTCTCCTTCGCTCTTCGCTTGTGGCAGCTGGCTGCGAGGTCCGCGTGCCAGCTGCTGTCAGCGTCGCCCTTGCCTCGGGCACTAGCCGTTCTGACCGGGGAAGTTCAGGTCCACTCTTTTTGTTCTGACTCTAGGTTTGGAGCGCCGCTGTGGGCAGCGCCTTCGCAGCTTTCTGGGGCAGATCTAGCAAACAAGCAGCATGAATCCTGCTCGAAACGGGTCCCCTGTTCCAGTTAAAGATCAGTGGGTGAAATGGCAGTCGAGGTACAAGTATCTTTAAAGAGCGTGCATCATGTGCAAGTTTCAGGGTCAAGAGAAAGCGAAGCGACTCAGGGCATCGAGGAGAGAAAAGTTTCGTCTTGCGCCCGAGACCTTTCGCGCGGCTTCGCTTGTGACGCTCCTTCGACATGTGGGCTTCCTCGCTCTGCTTGCAGGCTGCTCAAGAACCGCACTCAAGTCGTGGCGTTCTGTGACTAGAAAGCGTGGCTCTGACATCGGCATGCAGCTGCCAGTTGAAGAACCTCACGCAGCCTTGAAGCTTCAAAGGGCATGCAGAATGCCTTTAGAAACGGGAGATTGAGCTGCTCACAGGCGACCGTGACAGTTTCGCAGCTGGAAAGCAGAAGCTGCATAAACCGGTTCAGGCTTCCCTGAAAGAGCAGCTCCAAGATCTCCAGGATGCCCTACTTCTCTCCGTCGCGCTCGAGGCTCGACGACGCTCGACGACGCTCGATGCCCGCCCAGTAGTCCGGAGTGGTCGTTTGGTGTCAGGAGCCGCGGTGACCGAAGGGGAGGGGGCCGAGACCGGCGCAGGTGCTGGGAGACAGCATCGAACACTTCGACATCCTTGCAAATTCAATGATTCGTCTTCTTTGTCTTTCATCCCACCAGGTCTCCGTCCTTCAGACGTCGAGATGACTCTCGACAGCTACTTGGCTCCACATCATGCTCGTTGTGGCTGCGATCGCTCTCAGCATGCAGTCAAGCCTGTCTCGAAAAGCTTTGGCGAGGCGGCGTGCCTCACGGTCGCCGCTCACCCGCGGTTCGAGGAACTGTTAAGCAAGAGTGCAGCATTGTGTGGCACGAAATCCTGCTGTTGCCAGGCCACGGGCGGAAGGCTCAGGTGGCAGGAGCGCTATCGTGTGACCGTGTGATGTCTTATCTTGTCTCACGAGTGGGTGCTCAGTCGAGGACGAACAGCGACAGACGATCTCCCCTGCCTCGGGACATGCAGGGCATGGAAGACATGCTCTCGAAATGTTGCCGGCCTCACGATGCTAAGCGCAGGAGCCGAAATCCGGTTCCGGGTCCCAGCCCAGCGAGGACAGCTTTGAGCAAGCGCCTTTTAGCCTGTCGAAGTGGCCGGCTTGGAGCCAGAGGATCCTCCGACCAAAAACGACATGCCAGCCGACAACTCTGACTCCAAAGGCGCTCGCCGCTAGTCAGTCGCAGCTAGCAGTCGCCCTTGCCGTCTTCGAAGTGCCGGGAAGGCGGAGAGGTTGAAACGAAGGTTGTCGAGGGCATCGTGACTCGAGCAGGGGTCCGCCCCCTGAGCCTGGAATATTCTAGAACTGGACTCCTCTCTGGCCTACTATACCTCTGAGGCACAAACGTACCTGTCCGAGATCTACGTTCCACGCCTGCCTCCTTTGCGACCTGGCACGATCTGTGTCAGAGGACCGTGCTGGGATCGTCATCCAGTGCGAGGATAATTTGAAGACTGGCACTTTCGGAGGACCACTCCGCTTTGAGAAGGACATCGCTGAAGACGATTGTCGGCGGTTGGCCAACGCCCATGCAGAGGGTGGCTACAAGAAGGTCTGATCTGTGTTGCAGTGTCCGCACCAGTCAACAGCAGCACAGCCTCGCGCCCAGCAGGTGCAAGAGGTGCGAAACATACTTCGTGCAGAAGCAAAGTGACTCCGCAGGTACTGTAGGTAGGTAGGTAGGTAGGTAGGTAGGTAGGTAGATAGAGCATCATTGTGAATTTGGTCATAATCTGCTGAGTTGGGCGGGTATGATGTTGAAAGCCAACCTGAGTTCATCAGCCCTATAGGCCCTAGTGAGATCGCGATGTGGCCGTTTCATATCCTCGAAGCTGCGCCCAGGCGCTGCCTAGCGAGGCATCAACGTTTCATGAGGAGAGCGCAGCAAAATGGCCAGGAGGAAACTTTCACGAGCTCCTTTCTGCAGAATTCACTTTGAAAATTGGGCTTCTGCTTGCCCGCGCACTCAGCCCGCCCCGCTGCCGAATGGACAGCTGCTTAGAGATCGTTGTCGCTGCCCCGTCTGCCATCAAGGCGGAACCGGTGGTGGTGGGGGGGACTGATCTACACTGAGAGACACAGACACGAAAGACGTCGGTTCTGTCTTGCGGGCTTTGATGCCGACTTCTTGGTCCAGGCTGTTGGCCTTGTGGGAGTTCACGATGCCTTGGTCTTCCATGCAGGCTTCTTTGCTCTCTCTGTGTACTTCGTTGAATTTCCTGTCAGTGCCGTGGACAGGAAGCGCTGCGAGCCTTCAGACGAGGTGAATTTGTGATGGTTATGGACAGTGACGAGCGCGAGGATCCAGTGCAGCTTGCAGCGTCAATTGAAAACACGTGCTTCGTGGCAACGGCTGCGCATGTTCAAGGATGAATGTGATCTCGTTTTTTCGGCAGAGATGGTCACCGTCCATATCTCAATCCTGGCTTGTAGAACATGGAATTTTGAAAGACACGTCCACGAGAACAGAGAAGTCCTCGAGAACGAACGGGCCTCGACAGGCCTCGCAAATGGCCTTTGCAATCCGCCACACGACGGGAATTGTTTGTATCGTTGCGGACAAGGCCATGGCTTTGGGAGGTGGAAGTTGCAGACTAGCGGCTGTTTGATGCCAGGCGAGATTAGAACACTTCGGGCTCCACCCTGCCTTGGCCTCAGTCTATCACCTTCTGCAGTGTTGTGCCGGCTATTTGCGTTTTGCAGTTGTGCTGCCTTTTGTGCACAAGCCTGGTCGACGCAACTTTGCCTGGGTGGTTTGTGCTACTCCAGTTTACATTCTTGGCTGTATGTACCGTGCAACGTGCAACGGAAGAAACCTGTGACATGCATGATTCGGGTGGTGCTCCATCATGTCGGCTCCGACAGCACAGCGTGCCGGTTTCAGCGGTTCTTGGACCTGCAGACCCGGATCGCTGCAGATCCCGGCTGGTGGCTGTGCCGGCCGCTTCGTGAAGTGTGTGCAGCAGGCCGAAACTGGTTTGCCATGGGAATTTCTGGCTACCGCAGTCGCAGCCTGGGGGTCGCTGTCCAGCCTGAGGCAGGGTCGGCAAGCCGGGCTCTGTTGAGAATCGATGCGAGGAAGTCTGACGATGGTGTGGGCATGTGTGAGCCGTAGGCCTTCCAACATCTAACTGCAATTTGACTGCGCATGAAGCTTTACATCTTTGCTCTGGGCCAAATTCCCCCGTGCAAGGGGTCCTCTCGCTACGCATCGAGCAGAGTACTTGGCAGAATGCATTCCAGAGTTCTCGTGTCCGACATTGTCCGACGTATCCCATCACACTGACTAACACTTGTATGATTCCACAAGACTGTCATCACGTCTTCAAGCATGTCCGTCATGTTGCCCTGGTCAGGCCGTGTGCTTATCTTTGGCGAGGTGCCGCTACTTCCCGGGTCGTGAGATTGATGCGAACAGCGAAGCGGGAGACGACAGCGTACTTTGAAAGCCTCAACATCCAATCGACTGGGGACGTGGTGCGCCACTGGGTCCACACTACATCCGTGTCTGCCGATCTCGTACGAGGGCCCGGTGGCAAGGGTGAAGGCTCGAAAGCTGTTCACAAGGCTATAGAAGAAGCCAAAGCCGTTTGCAACTCGTTTCTTCCAAGAGTTCTACGTGATGAGAAGAGTGTCTCACAGATACTCGATTTGCTTTGCAATGCCCTGTCCCTAGCCGGGGATCCTTCATCACGTGATGCCTTTGCTGCCCTGGAAAGCCCTCTGGTGTCGTTCCACGACAACGCGCCCGTCGCCATGCGTAAAGCCCTCCAAGGCCGCTTCTCGGGCATTGCGGAGTCCTGGATGCACAAAGACTATAGTATATTATATTATATTATGTTATGTTATATTAAAGTATAGTATAGTATAGTATAGTATATTACTGATGCACCGACAAAGAAGTACTGTAGAGGGTTGATGGAACAGTGAGCTGTGCAAGTGCAGACAGGTTTAGCCAGGAGCCGATTTGGCCCAAGACGGACAGTTGGGCAAGTGCTCCACAATCCAAAGAGCTCCAACGTGAGACTAGCTAATTGCAATTATGAGCCGCTTGCCACGCTCTGGACCCTTTAATTCAGTGGCCGCTCGGAAGTATGCTGCATCACAGGTGCCCCGGCTGCACGAGTCCTGTCGCGACAATGCAAGTTCTAAGCAGCTGGTCGCTCGGACGTTAAGGTGGCAGATGCCTTGCATCTGCAGATGCAAGGGCCCAAAGTCCCTCTCCCACCGATATCGCAGGGCAGCCTGAACCTCAGGGAGCCAGTGCGCACAGCACGGCAGGCTACAGCAACGGCTACAGCCACTGCCGAAACGATTATTGAAAGCAAGCCTCAGGCGAAGCGCTCGAATGGGGCTGCAGGTCTTTTGTCGATGCTGGCCATGGCAATGGCGACCCTGGTCACTCGGTGGTTTCAGCCCTCGAAGAGAAGTTTGTCCCGAATGAGCCAAGCTCGAACGGCCCGGCGCTTCATGAGCTACCAGTGGGAAGAGGCTGGAAAGGACGGACGAGAGATTCGACTATACGTTCCCGTGGACGAAACCGTCAAGGAAAAACATGTAGAGATCGATCTGACTGAGAGCAAGCTACGTGTTGGATTGAAGCTACGAGGGCAAGTCATAGATTCGGACTTGTATGACATGGTGAATCCGCATGAGAGCCACTGGTTCATCGACCAGCATGAAGGGCGCAGATGCGTGGCAGTTACGCTTATGAAAAAAAACATATGGAAGCGGTGGACTTTCCTCACATCGAGTGAAGCCACTAGCGACTTGGCAGTTCTTTCACCGCTACGGCCAAGACATCCGAGAGCCTAAACTGACAGGCTCGAAAGCCTCACAGGTCCAGCTTCAAGCCATTCTTTGCCTGCTACAGCCACCTAAGGCTTGCGAGTCCTGGGCGGCATCAAGACATTGCTTCTATGTGGTTGTCTTGCACGGCCCTTAATCACAGCCGGAGCTTCTCAAACACAGCCCCGTAAGGAAGCTGCAATCCGTTGAAAGTTTGGCTCGGACTTAATTGTCATCTGCTGTGTCTTCTTTAAAAACTTTAACAGCAAGAGAAAGTGTTCCCCCGGCTCCTTGCGCACAGATCATCTTCCCCAAGCGATTTGCTACTGTTCGCGGTGCCGTGGCCTGCCCTGTCCTACTTTTGCACTCGCGCCTTGAAGCGTCCGCAACTCCCCATCTCTCTCCGCTTCTCCTTTCTCCTCATCTCTTCTTGAAGTTTTGGCTGCCACAGCACATTCGGTGAGTTTCCGGCACGGCTGAGGCCTTGTTTCTTCAAAAGCAGCTGCTGGTTCGAGCCATCTAGACCAAGCCAGCGAGCCCACGACTCAAGTCTGAAGTGCACCGCTGGACATCTCCACCCAGTGACTGAGAGCGAGGTGCTTGGTAGTTTCATTTTGGATATGGACTGGACACAATCTACGGACTGGACCTCGACAGGGGTGACTCGGACATGCACGAGATCATTGAAAACTAGGCGTGCGCCTTCGCAGAGTTTCTGGTGCTATCCAAGGACTGCTTGTCATCTCAGACGTTGATGAGCCACCCCAGGATGTGACTTAAGCCTTTGCCATGCAGTCTGAGTCAATGTCATTGTTTCTGGCGAAGGCAAGGACAGATTGAGGCAATACGTGCACGACTGCCCGGCAGATGCTCAGTCCTGTTTCAGTGGAAGCATGCACGGGGAATGTGCTGTCGAGAGAATGGCTTGCACTGCGGAGGGGGCAAGCTCGGCATGACTGGATGGGGGGTGGACCTTTTCTCCCTTCCCCAGCTCGGTCATGTAATGGAGCGGGGCCAACTGCCTGCACCTCCCAGCGCAAAGGTTTTTCACTTGACTGCTGTCATCGCAAACATACTGATCCGACAGGGGCCTGATGTGTTGTTCTGTCCTCTCTCGGACAGACCCTTATGGACATGCTTCTGCAGGGTTCCTCACTCATGCAAGCAAAAGATCGAGATTTTGCTTGCGTGTGGTTTCGATTTGAAGATGCATCTTAGCCGCAGCATGTAACTGGAACCACAGAGTTCTGCAGTTAGCTTCGTCATAGCACTGGCGGCTGGAAGATGCCTCGAGATGCCTCCGGTTCCATGTTTCCATTTTGAAGCTGGGCGAAGTGGCGGGTCCTCTTCCCAGAGGCTCTGCCCTCTCCAATCTCAGCCAGCGCCCGCCTTTGACAGATGGTCTTTCGGGGCAAAGCTCCATGACTCGTCAGACGCCCCAGAGTGCCCCAGAGTGAGCCTGAAGTAATCTATGCAAAAAAATGTATCAGCGTGTTGCGTTGCAGGCCAAGTTTGCTGTTCAGTGTTTTGATTGACATCCTGAGACTCGACTGAAAGGAGCCTTCATTGGAAGGCACAGGTCTGGCAGTTGGCAATCACAGGCCGTGGGGAGAGGCATTTTGCCTACCGTGACCGCCATGACCCTTTTTGTTTGAGTGGGCATCCACAACAAAGACCACAGTTGCACTCCGCAAAGAGACCTACGAGCCAATACCACTGTTTGTTGACTTCTGATATTTCAGGATGCCCCTTCATTAGCATCCATAGGGAGTGCCTCGAGGGCCCGTGCCCGCCCGAGAGAAACTGGCCACCAGCACTACCACTGGCCAACTGCAGATCGCTATAGACTGGGATGCGCAGATGCTGCTCTCAGTGGCCCGGTAGAGAGACGAATGTGTAATGTGATTCTGTACGATACCTTTCTTGAAGGAGTCTGTTTTTCAGACTTCGAGCCCTGAGAGCCTTGATTGCCACTTCCTCTACCCAAGTGCACAAGACAGAGACCTGCAGCATCGAAGCAAAAGGGGGTACACCTCGTCGAGACCGAAACGAATCTGACTGCTAGCATTTCTTAAGCTGTCGTCTCGGACCCTCGTCAGAGGAAAAGCTCGTCGCACGCGATGCCCCGGAAGCGGCACATCCCCTGGGCATTGCGCTGGAAGCCTTGGGAGCTGCAATCCGCGGCCCAGGCTGCCCGCACATGGTTAAACGATGTTAAACGCATACTGCAAATACGCGCTTACTCTATAAGCCGTGGTGTGACACTGGCCACTGATGGCCACTGCATACTCTGAGCTACGATGCACCAGCAGCTCGGGATGCTATCCCTAGCCAACTCTCGATCTCAGAGATTTTTTGCAGTTCGGGGGTGTCGTCGGCTCGGCTGGTTCGAGCGAGTCGGTTTAGTCTTTCAGAAGCTGAAGTCTCCTGTCGTTCCTGTCGTCCGCCCCATTGCGCACGCCTTCTCAGGCAACTTGGCCAAGTGGAAGCCGCCGGAGATCCTGCAACTCCGATCGCAAAGCCGCTGGAAAATGCCTCTCCAGGTCCGTGCCATGATCTTGGCACGTGACTCTGAGACATGCTGGTATTGCGGTGCACCTGGTGACACTGTGGACCACTGGATTCCGCTATGTCGAGGTGGCACGAACAAGACGGTGAACCTGGTTTGTGCCTGCAGCGAATGCAATGAGCTCAAAGGCAACAGTATGCCGGAGGAATTCCTTGCGACACGGAAAAGTCTGCTGCTGCCTTTTTGATTCGTTGTTTCAGGCCCGCCTAAGATTTGGAGATAAAAGGATCGGCTCGCTCCCGAGGCCACGCAGAGAAACACGGATGCCAACGCCACGAACTTCTACGTGTCTACGGCCCCAGCCTTGGGCCATCTGAAGAGGAGAAGCGGCTCAAAAATAGCATTTTGTAGCGCCTCGGAGGACTTCCTGCCCGCCACTTCGACAGGCGTGTCTGCATCAGATCGCGCCATCACCGCCCGAGCGCCTTGGTAGTGACATGGCCCTGCGCATGAGCCTAGATGTCGGGTAGGGCGGAAAGAGCAGAAAGCAAGGCGATGTGCGACCTAAACAACCGGGCAGAGGACATCTGAAAAGTGTGAGAGAAGCTGCAACAGAAAGAGGGGTGCTTTTTGCTGTGAGGACTTCTCCAAGCCGGGTCATCTCTTCCCTCTTTGTGCTCGGCCCGGTGGGGTGCTCGAACGTCCAGGACAGGCGAAGCTGAAGCGGATGCAAGTGGCGGCCATGACATGAGAGCTCTGGAGCACTGCAGGACATACCGAATCGACCTGGGACTTCTGCCGCCTCGCTGGCCTGACGCCAGTGGGGCTGCTTGCAGAGCTGGTGCAGACCTCTCTTCAGAGCTGCATTAAGAGTGTGCTTCCGGTGTACATTTACTTTCGGATTGCTTCGGCACTTCTTGCAGATGCACGATGATGGCACCATGTACCGTCGCGATGACAGCCTGGCCTTTGCTAGTGCGAACAACATTCCGATCGCCTGGGCCTCGTGAAGCCAGCTGACCAGTTGTTTCTTCACCCAAACTTACGACCTGCGTTCGGCAGGTGACTGTAGATCAGATCATCGAGTTCCGACAGAAGCACGGGACAATAGCCCCTGCATCTCTGTTCAGCGAGAAGGCCGCCTGGGCAAGAATAGATTCTTTCCAAGCTCTGCTCTGAGTCTCTGAAGGCCGGACTGGCTGCGACCGGCAGCGCCAGCGCCAGCCCGGCTGTCGTGGCTTCCACGTGCGATGCCAGGCGGGGCCCGGCCTCGCCTGCCTTGCTTGGGGGACCCTCCTTTTTTTGGACCCTGAGCCTCTCAAGGTCTGATGCTCCAAAGGCAAAGCTTTGATGGCCCAGGTGCCTTTCAGCTTTTGCACTGGACGCTTCCGTTGCCACGGAGGGTGACGAAATTGTCTGACTGATGTCTTGGTCCTGCCAGGGAGGCTCAAGAAATGAGTGGAACATGAATGTCACTGAACGATGGCCTCGTCAACAGCCCTTGCCTATCCCCACCTGAGATCCCCCGACTCTCCCAAACCCTCATCCGTAGGTTTAGACACTCTCCAACCTCCCCCGATGAGAGGGAGGGCTCACCAAATGCAAATGCGGCGCCGTTTTCCACTTCATGGCCGCAGGGTGCACCTTCTGTACGCGCTGCTATCTTGTGCTGTCCCAGGATGTTTGCTGAAGGCATTCACCCCTGGGGTTCACGAATCCGCCGGCCTTGCTCGTTCGTCGGGCACAAGCCTCAGGAAGTTGCCACCGGCAAATCTTTTCCATATTTCTTCCCGACAAAGCAGAACAGAAGGTGCACAGCTTGTGCAGCGCAGGGCTGTCTTCAGCGTCCTGGCTGAGGAAGTGAACAGTAGACCAAGCTTCTTCTTTGGTGAAGTCTTCATCATCGTCATCTTGTCGACGGGGTTTGAGAAAGCAGAGAAGTGGCTGCGCACCAGACTGAAGATCGCCGGCGATAAGATTGGGAGAGAGATCTTGGATGCGCTGTTCAGAGAGATCACAATTCTCGGATTCATCGGTCTGCTATTGTTTGTGCTGACCCATCTACTGCCGGAAGACACACCACTCATTTCTCTCGGGGCTGATGAGTACAACATATTGCCTGAAACCTTCGAGTACGTGCACATGGCGACATTCCTCTTGCTGGTTGTGCTGCTGTTTCAAGGCTTTGCCGTGCTCAAGCTGTCACGTGAAACAGCAGAGACATGGGCAGAGTACGAGAGCACTCGTGCGTTCGGCAAGAGCAAAAGATCGATGGAGACCAAGCTGGTGGAGGCCGGATACCTGAAGAGAGTAGACAACCCCTTCTCTATCACTGGCTACGAGCTCCAGCCTGTGAAGAACTTTGGATATGGGGATACGCCGCTGGAGAGGGTTGGTTTGCGCACCAAGGAGGTACACAAATTGATTATGTGGCGATCCATTCGGCACGGATTTCTCTTCGACGGGCCCCAAAGTGAGTTGCTGGTCAATGAGACTGGGCAGTGGTTAGAAGTCTGGATCTTTGTGCCTCAAAATGTGAAACGGATCCAACAGGATTAACCATTTCTGAAGGTTTTCCTTCGCCAGCCCAGGAGGGGGGTGTGATCCCTGGACTGTTCAGCTTCGAATCCTTTCTCGAGCAGCAGCTGGGTCAGATTGCTGCTGAGCTTCATAAGTCGTCTTTGCCGTAAGCATCTAGGGAGTTGTTTGTCAGTTCGGGAGCCCCGCAACAATCGTTTATATAGATGATATCTCAAGCACGTTTAAAGGTGGGATGTGACCGGCAACATGTGTATGCCGACGTAGACTCAGTCGTGTGCAAGCTGTTGCTAGGCAGTCCCGGAGGGCAGCTTAGTCCGACGATGCCCACCAGAATGCTTCGTGCTTCAGCAAACCTGAACTCTATTCCCTCTTTCGGAAGCCGCGTTCGACCTTTAGAGACTCAAGCATTCTTGTGAACAAGTTTTCCGTCTCGTTGACCTCAACCTGTTTCGTCAGGCCTCTGTGAACATTTAAGCGCGCGAAATCGACCGAGAGGATCTGGACATTGGCTTCCAATGCGTTTCTGGTACTTGCTGACTTATCGAGCCTTCTCTGATTCTCTAGCTTAAACAGGGCACCGCCCTCAGGCTGGGGCTTTGCTCACCACTCGCAGGGTACATCATCTTGGTGGTGGTGGGACCGGGCGAGGTCCCACGGGCAAAAGAAGTGACGAAAGACCTCCGTGGCGTAAAGCCTTTCGGCCCTACAAGCCGTGGTGGAGATGTCGCCTGCCACATGCTGTGCTCTTGCAGGTGACCGAGAGGCATGTTGTCCAAGCGTTCTTACTAGAGGATGGCGAGCTGTCTTGTCCTTATTCCGCCGAGTTTGCCTCACAGCTGCTCGTGGAACAGGCGATGATGCACCTACTGAGCGAACTTTTTTTCCTCAAGCCTTTGGGCCCGAAAGGAGGTCGCCTGAAAAGGAGTCACCCGAAAGGTGGTCTGCTGACGACAGGCTAAGCATTCAGCAAATGCTCAAGGACCCACCACCGCCGCCGCCGCCGCCACCCCCACCACCACCACCACCACCAGTACCACCAGTACCACCACCACCACCACCACCAGTACCACCCCAGTACCACCAGTACCACCAGTAGTCGTTTGATTGTCTCGGCATGACCAGACCACTTGCAGGTCATCAGGCTCCTGAACCCGAGGGCAAGCCACGCAATTACCGAGATCTTTGTCTTTTTCAGTGCTTCACCGTGTGTGCACAACAACCCACTCGAGAGGTGTGAAACCGGATCTCGCCTTACAGGACATGAGACATCGGCCCCTGCTCTCCTCCCCAGCGAACAGACTTTCAAGCCCAGAAGCAAAGCTTTTGCCATATAAGTGATGTTAATTTCAGCAATGCTGGATTGCGCCGTATGTCGGACGCAAGGTCCTGGCATTGGTTGAGGTCGACGTCACAACATGGTTCGTCTCCCTGCTTGTCGTGGCACTTGTCACATCAATTTGCCTGGCGCTGGATTCCGTGAATGCACAGCTGATGCAGTGCTTCTGTTGCTGGGGATTGTTTGCCATCGGCTTGATCTACTCCGTCGTTCTGGAGGAAGACACATGGGAGCTGACCCCACAAGTCCCTAAAGATCCCCGCGAGGTCCTGCGGCTCTTCACAGGCACCTCGATCCAAATGGTCCGCCGTTCCTCTTGGCTGGGACGCACACCGGAGGAAGCAGTCTCCAAAATTCTCAGCCAGTCAGGGCGGCGCTTCCGGCCCATGATGCCAGGAATCGACGGCACGCCTTGGCCACGGATTCGGGCAACTCCAAGGGAAGAGCATTCATTGACTTCTTCCTTCTACATGGTGCAGGACTACACTGTTGCTTTCAAGCTCCTTTGCTTCCTCCAGGCAGCTGTGGTGGCTTCCTTAATCGTGGAGTTGCTGAATGGCAGCATCCATGGGCCTGACAGGACGATCCCCTTTGCTTTGGCCTGCATTGAGTGGCCTCTGATGTTGTTCTGGCTTGTGCCTAGTCTGGTCAGGCGCTTGACGCTTCGTGCCGCCCTAACCCGCACGAAGTCTAACGCTTGGTTTAAAAAGAATCAGAGGGGTCTGGTGAGACAGGTGATGGTTGCTGGCATCGAGGGCTTGTTAAGAGACTGTACGCGGCTGATCCATCTTCAGGGCATGGAGTCGAGAGCTTTCGTGACTGGGGAGACCTGGGCGCAAGCGGAGGCTGTCACAAAAGCCATGACGGGTCAGTCAAGAGCATACCTGGATTCGCACCTGCGACAGATTGCCATAAACAATGTGAATCGGGGACAAGCTCTGTTTGACGAGCTGCCGCCCAACTTGAAGTCGGAGGTTTCAAGCATCTTCACCAGCTGGGATGCCGCCAACTCCGGGTTTGTGGCTCCCCAAGAGCTAGCAAACAACATGGAGCTGCTGGGCTTCAATGCGACTTCAGAACGCCTTGCCAAGAACTTGATACGAATGGTGGATAACGACGGCAGTGGGTTGTTGAGCTGGAGGAAGTGCCGAGCTCTATTCATGTTGGCCACGCGCGGCCGTCCGACGACGGAGAGGCGCAGAGATTTGACAACCTTCTTCTCCAGAGTGAAGAAGCAGAGCCCACGTGAAATGACCGTTTTCGAGCTAGCAGATGCCTTGCCTTTGCATAGCATCACGGCGGAAGATCTCTCCAGTTTGATGTATCGCCATTTCGGTAAAGTCAAGCCGTCACTGACCCGTCCAGAATTTGTTGAGTGGATCGAGGCTGTTGAGCAATCCATGGTCATCGACGAAGAAGTTTGACTTGCCAACAGCTTCTCCTAGTTTCCGAGCAGTTTATAACATGGAGTTGTAAACGGCTGACTTTTCCACCGTCAGTCATTTGTTTATCGTGCATACATACCCTTAATTTGACACCTGGCGCAAAAAGGATGCTTTTGAGAGTCACGAAAGCACTTGGAAGGAAGTGACATGACTGCACACCGAACCTGCCATGTCCGCTGCAGTCCCTTCCGCTTGTCAGCTTGGGAATTGCATCCCTGGGAGGTCATCATCAAATCCAGGAGTTTCACCTGAGCCCATCATCAAGCCAAGGCTTTCCCGAAGCCCGAAGCGGCTTGTGATTTTCGGTCTCGATGCCTCGCAGCTGCACAGCTGTCTCTTGACACGTGGGCCAATCTTTATGCAATATCCTGCAGAGGAGCAGATGACTATTCAGCTTCAGCAGGGCCCCCGTCGCTGAAGTAAGCGGGAGTGGGCAAACGCCCACTTTCCAAGTTTTGGCTGTAGCCTCTCGACCAGCCGACCAGCCAGCGTCTTGTGCAAAAGGCTCATCCCATCATGCAGCTGCGCAGAATCTTTGCGAGCCCCATAAGCTTCCCTTGAAGTGTGGCATTTGGATGTCAGAGCTGGAGATGTACAGAGGAAGGGAGACATACCACAAGGTAGAAGATACCATCTCACACATGCCTGTATGCAGGGCACCCATTTGCACAGCATCGGGGAAGTCGAGTGTTTTCACAAGCGTGCAATGATGCGGCGTGCTGGCATTGCCCAGAAGAGGCCTCGTGCCACCATGCAAAGCTCACTCTGCAATGTGGCACCTGGCTCGACGCTGCAGTGCGACTCCAAAGTATGGACGAGCAGTGGCCACTCAGATGCCCAGCAAGCTCTTGCGCGGGCGACCTCCCGTGCTCCTTGGAAGGAGAGAGAGGCGAGATCGCGATGTACCCCAGGAAAGCCCGAAGAAGGCTTTCTTGCCGGCCAGCACTGGCGGGATTGCCGACTTCAGGAAACTGTGTGAATCAGCCCTGCAATCAAGAGAAACCGGCAACTCAAATGCACTTGCGCTTCTTCGACAGGCTGGTAGGAAGGCAAGAACACCTGCAGAGGCTGCACTTGTGCTCAACCATATCGTCGACATGTCACGGGATGAGCACTTCATCCGGTTCCTGGTCGACAAGCTCGTTTCCCAACACCTGGCAGGCCAAAGCAAGCATGTCTGCTTGGCAGCAAATGCCCTTGCGCGCGTCGAACTTTGGATGCCAGCCTTTGGCACCCTGGTAGATCGAGTTTTTGCAGGCACGCATGCAGAGATGTCGTTGGAGCAGCTCAGCCCGATTGATGTTGCGCAGATCTGCCGCTTCACTGCTGTCTTTCGCCGGCGCTTGGAGAGCACGGGCTTGCCAGCGAAGCGTGTCCTGGAGGCTGTTCATCTCCGGCTGCAGCGTCTCGAGGAGTCTGGGAAGGAATTGGAGGCTACAGGATTCATCTCCTTGTTGAGGTCAGTCACTCAGATGTCGGATATGGATGTGGCGGATGCGGGCACACGGTCTCTGGCAACGTGGCTCCGAACCAGGCTAGTCAAGCAGCTGCCGCTGTGCTCCCCGCGCCAACTTGCAAGCGCGCTCTTGGATCTCGGAGCACTCAAGCAGCTGGATGACAACACTCTTCTACAGCTGCAGAGAGAGGTGACCCGCAATTGGAGGGCGAACAACATGCGACCTCGTGATTTGGCATCCATCATCTCCGGATACTCCAAGCTCGAGGGTGTGAGTGCTCGTCAATGCGCGATCGAGCCGCTGCTGCCCCAGATGCTCGAAATGATCGGCAGCTGCTCCCAGGCGAGCCTTTGCGAGCTCCTGCACGGACTAGCCGCTGCCAACATCTACGACCGCCTGCTCCTCGAGGAGTGGTCTTCAAACTTCGAGGCGAAGGCCGGAGCCGCGAAGGGTTCCAAAACGGTCGCGTTCAAGTAGTGTCCTCATGCAAGGTGCTGGGGAGCCTCGGCGTGGACCTCGACCAAAACTCGCCTCGGTGTGTTCTTGTGTCATTTCGTTCCACGTGCTCAGGTTCCTCGGAGGCCGCCCCGTACACTCTCAGCCCGCCGGAGCCTGAAAAGTGCAACCCATACTAACCCATGCTGCGCAGTAACGGCATTCGACTGAGGGCCCAGCTGTCGCTTGTCGTGGCGGACCTGGCCAAGTTGCGCTACGTGAAGAAGGCGAAGCAGCTTGGGTTGGGAAGACATGACATGAGCAGAAAAACGTTGCAGGATGATCGAAATACCTTCTCAACCCTGCTGGGGCGTGTCATGGATGCCCGGCACACAGCGGTTGTCGCATGGCTGCTTCGGCTGAAGCGTGCATTTGGCGCAAGGTCGCTCCTTCTCTTGGTGGACTTTCAGCCCGCTACACAGCAACTCTCTGCGGCATGTTTGTCCAGCTTGATGCAAGCCGAGGTTTGTCACATTGTGTGTGCTTTGGCACGAGTCTCTCCTGCCCGAACCAACGTCTCGGCGTGGCGAGCTCAGCACAACTCTCCGAGTGCATCGAACAAGGCATCACATGCTTTCTGTCGAATTCGATCAGTGCTTCTTCTCTTCCAGCGGATATTTAGAAGGCTCCACAGGAGAAAGACCTGAACCCGGCCCTGGAGGAACCCGTGTTTTGTTTTGCTGCGCATTCGCCCACGACGTGAGTTTTGCAACTACGCCGTCAGCCCCTGGCAGTGCCCGGAGGTTCTCCCCCCAAGCGGGCGGCAGAAGAGGTGTGTGAGGCCCGCGGATGCCCGCCGCCCCGCAAACGCACGCACGCAAAACAAGCGACCTGTTTGGAGCGAGCATACAATCACATAGAATTTCGGCGTCCGCAAATGCAAACGCGGATCGAAAAGAAACGCGATCTGTGTCCAACCATGTGGAACCAGTGCTCTGCGCATGCGGGCGCATGCAGGCGCCGGGCCTCACTTACTCACTCATTTTTGCTACTTGAAGGGGGGAGGACAACCAGCAAAAGAAGCTGGACCACGAAACTACATAATCCCGATTAGTGCAGCGTTCATGCGCTGTGCATTCACATTTGGGTTCGCTGTCGCGTAAAATGTGTGCACAGCAACAAGTCGAAACTAAAGCATCGAGCGAATGCACGAGAAGGCATCAGCACAGCAGCCCAAAACCCTGCAGCCGGCCAAAAAAAACCGCGGCTCACTCGGCTCGTTGGCCCAGGATATTGGTGGACAGCTCGCCTGCAGGGAGCACAGAGTTCCGGTCCTCTCTTCTGAACAGGCTTGAGGCAGTGAGCAGAGACGGCGCCGGCCCATGCACTCGCCTCTCAACGAAGCTTCACGGAAGGCGCAGCTCCTCGTGAAGGTGGAAGAGCTTCTGCCGCAGGTAAGCCTACAGCACCGGATCCTCATGGGGATTTAGCCGCTCGGCTGCCAGGGGTTGAGCGCCAGTGCCGCTGCCTTCGTCAAGCTGCGACACTTCAGCGCGGCGCCGAAGGGTTCTGAGGGTTCCGAGGGTTTGCGCTCGAAATTGTTGCCCGGGAGCTCCAGGCGAAGATCTCCTGAGCGGCCTCACAGAGGCTGCTGTGCCACGCAGAGGGCCAAGCAGCACGGTGAGTCCTTCTGGAGATCCCGTGGTGCTTTCAGGTCTTGGGAGCTTTTCCGCAGAGGACTTCACCATGTTCTCGTCTGCCCTTGGGACTGCCCCAGCCTTAGCTCTTGGGCTTCTGCTAACAGCCTCTTCCTGTGGTGTCACTGCATTCCTGCGAGTGCCAAAGGCACAGGATGCTTTGGCACAAAGCTGGAGCTGGTGCCTCAAGATTCGACTCACATTCCCTCCGGATCCTGGGGCTGTACTGCTTTTGGACACGCAGTGCATTCTCACACCATTGTGTAATCCTCACTCCTCGATAGCCCTGTTTTGATAATGGCACGGCGTGGCACAACTTCAAAGCAGCATGCTGCAAACCAAGCAGACGCCCATACCAGCGCTGGATTGTTGTATAGGCCGTATACACTTGATCCATAAGGAGCCCTTGTGAAAGAAACCTGGCTCCTGTTGCGGTAGATCATTGAAGAGAGCCCTGAGTTCATTAGCCCCAAACCCTTAAATCCATCCAAATCCGAAAGCCTAAGGTGAGGACCACTTGGTTCAGCTCGGTGAACATGCAGCCCAGTCGCTCCAGCAGGCATCCACCGCGTGGACACCCAGGCGAACACACGGCGCAGCCGTGGAATTTCAGGGCTGAGCGTGGGGTAGCATCGTAGCATCTGTCTATTGCCTGGCCAACGAGTCTAGTCGGGCAGGGCTTTTTCAAAAAGCTCACGAGTGGTTCGAGCCTACAGCCCGCTTGGCTGTATCGTCACAGGTCTGCCTCATAGCGCATGTCCGATAGCCGCGTCGGGCGTTCGCAGTGCCTGTGCAAAAATTCAACCGCATACAAGTCCGTTTCTTGCATCAAAGTTTTCAGACCAACCGCACCCACAGACCACTCGCAACGAGGCTGTGCGAGCTCTGGCCTCACAGCCCCCTTCACACAACACATTCCCAAGGGAACTTGTTTTTGCCATACTTTGAGAGTAACCCTGAGCAAACCTCTCAGACCTGGCCGCTGTAGACTACATTCGACACAGCAATGCATTGAATTGGGGCTTCATTGGCTCAGCCATGCTGCGCGGGTTTTGTTTAGCCCACACCCGTTCTGTCCCGTCGCATACAGACATAGTTGGCAGTGAACCGCGCAGACTGGAGTAAGTTGGGTGTGCTGCAAAAGTTGGGTGTGCTGCAAACGTGCAATAAATTCCTTCGCGCTAATGCCTACCCTGCCTACTCACAGTGAGGTTGTCGGATCCAGCTTTGCAAAGGAGCGCCCAAAAGACAAAGGACTTGATCAACGGCTGACAAAAGATAATAACTGTTCTTGCTTGCGTATACCAGGAAGAAATCGAAGGCATCAATGGAGAAGCAACAGCCACTGCCTTCGGTCAAGGCTTTCCTACACAAATAGCCCGCGGCAGAAACGATCTACAGGATGGAGCTGCACGAAAGGAAAACAATTGACTGTCATCGCCATCACCATGCTAATCAATGCAATTGGGTCTTGTAGTGTCCGACGCTCTGCCACATGCTCCACTCAGTTTGTGGTATGGCAAGCACTTCACTGGTTGCGGAAGTTGCAACGGGGTTGAGCAATCTTTCATCAGGGACTCGGAGGGATGCAGCATTGTCATGGCACCCCGTGCCAGGCAAGTTTCACAGGTGTTGCAACCTTTTGCGGCCCAAACGCGTCCTCCGCAAGGACGGCTTGCCAGGTCTGCCCTGTGAACTCGACTTCCATGGCTCTGCTCCTGAGGCTTGATCCAGGCTGCTGTCGCGCATCTGAGGACCCGACGTGCCCCGCATCTCACGAGGCATCAAGGCCTCAAGACATGCTGCGGCTTCAGGAGATCATCCTCGAACTACTCGCCGAGAGATCTCGCAAAGTTTTTGAACCGTCTTCAGGGTTGCGGAGTTCTGCACCACAAGGCAGCGTCCTTTGGCCGGTCTGACTTGCGATTTTTTACAAGAGAAGCCTTCCAAGGCCATGGCAGCAGAGATCTTGCAGTCATCCGAAAGGCGATTACGACATCGAGGAGGGAGAGTGAAGTAACGTGCGGGTTCTTGTTCATTGTGGCCAGATTGTGGCAAGTTGTGGTTGCTACGGCTGTGCCGACGACGGTTGCAAGATGTAGCAAGCTACTTGTTGTGAGGCCCCGAGATTGTGGCCGTTGCCAACTCCTTGGCCCAGCTTCGCCAGGTGATCCCTGTGTCGCAGTTGAGGCCGGGCGGTGGGCCAGAATGTCCGCGGGCGGATTTCGCAAGCGGACAGGCTAATCCTTTGCAGTCCTGGCGCGGCAGGTATCGTTTTCGGAAATTGAGCATCAATGTGCAGTTGGCGCTGGCCAGACACTTGCTGTCCCTCCGAGACCAGGTGCCTCAGCACCTGTGCATTCGTGCCCCTCCTTTTCATGCAAGCAGCTGATGGGAACCCCGCAGCCGACAAGTTCCTGTCAATCCGTAGTCGCTGGCGACTGAAGTGATGCCTGGTTTGGGTGCGGGCCTTGTAGGGATGCTGGCAGCGTTTGTTCAGATGCAGAGTTTTGAGATGTTTTGAGGCACTGCCATCGTCAGTGCCTTCACAGCACATGGCCTGCCACCTCCGGATGCCGGCCATGATTCAGGTGGGGTGTTTTGGGGTGTATGTGGCATCGATGCTGCAGTAATCCGGAAGGTGACCCTTGGGGTGGCCTGACTGCCGAGAAGCTCTTGTCCACAATGCAGCGGACCCAAGAATTCTCAATCTCGCATCTGACGTTTGCAGCAGTGGCCCGAGGCATCCCAAGATGCAAAAGCTATTGAAAGCCATGCCAGACGTTCGTCGAGACTATGTGCGCGAGCTGGACACAGCACTCGTCGAGAGCAGCGTCTTGGCATCGCGGAAGCTTCTGTCTGAAGCTTCCGCGCTTACCTAAAGACCTAAAGACCGATGTCCGAAAGCCTGTAGAAAATGCAAGCACCCCCTTATCCATGTTGAGCACAAACATGTAGAACTGGCTGACCTGGCTCCCTCTAGCCTAGCTGCAGCTTTGCAACCCCCCAGCTCTCAAGTTCCACACGCCGAGGAGGCGCGGCCAATCCTGATGACATCAAGATGCTGCGGGAGCAGATCGAAGGTGCCATCAAGGCCCCGACACTGCGGAGAGCCTTGCTGTAGCTGCTGCTTCACTTGGCTGCAAAGTTTCACTATTCCTGCCAGGAGATGAATTCTGAGCACCTTGTCTGCAGATGGCCATGCACGGAATGTCGTCCATCGCCCTGCCCTCTCTGGCACCATGGTCTTTTGTTTGGTTGCTGTCACATGCTGTCACTCGCTGCGCTAAGGATTGGGAAGAATCCAAAGGCACTGGATGACCTCATGAAAGAAACAGCATCCAAGATGGCAGTGTGTCCTGTAATGGTCGCTCCACCTCCAGTTCCAACAAAGCTTCTTGTCTTCGAGCAGGGTTCGGAGTTGTCCAGCATTGAAACATAACTTTCTGGCTCGTCTTGCTCAGGAGTGACTGTCGGCTGGATCGTCGGAAGTTTCTGTGAAAACCAAAGGCTGTTTCACATTTGCCCCGCGCATGATAATGCAACGATGAAGCGCAGACGTAGAGTTTGAGCTCCGACGCGTCGACTGTATATAGTGGTGCTGGAGCTGGAAAGCTCTGGCAGAAGCCCTGACCCGGGCGGGATGCGCACGAGTGACCAGTGGTGTCCGCAGCTTGAAAAAGGAGGGCTCACTGGATCACCGACCTGGCAGCCCACGCGCTCTAGTTTTGCTTGAGGAGGGGAAGCTTCTTGACTGTACCTTCATCCAAATCAAGCAGGCAGACGTGCTGCGCATATGGGCCTTGGTCGGCCTCAGGGACCGCTTTGGATGCAAGGGAGACTTCCCTGAGCTGGATGTTTCTGTGCGCTGCAGGACTGGCGCCTTCTGGCCGCTCTAGCCACGAATGCATCCCAGGTGTTGCTTTGCCGATCTTTATCGCGCATGCTGGGACTCCTTCTTCTGTGTGGTGCGAGGAGTTGGACGCTGCTTCAACCAAGTCCTTAACCGGACTTGGGCAGCTGCCGTTTCCTGCCGAGGATCGCACTCTGGCAGAATGCGCCAGCATGCGCCTGCATGCTCATGAACGTTTGCCGGAAACCACGTCTCTTTGTGTAGGACCTGCTGCAAGCCATCTACGCGTATGCCAAGTTGGGATCGCCTCACTCGGTGTCCTGCCTTCCTCATCGTCACCTTTGTCAGACAAGGAGCTGTGCCGCATGATTTGGCGACTGTTGAGGTGGCGCCGGAGTACCGCGCGACCATCCTAGAGTTCCTCGTCCGTGCCATGAAGGCTGAGAAGCTACGAGGGCACTGTTGCAGGAATTGTATCATCTGCAGCATAGTGGCTTCATGCAGCAGGGCATGGCAGTCCTTCGTAGTCCTTCAATGTAGCAATCGTGATCTGTTTCAGGCTCTCCTGCGGGTTGATGCAGTGCCGCGTCTCGGGGAGAAGGCTTTGCGCCAGCTGCTGTCAAGGCCTCGGCGATTTGCTTTTGGGGCGGTCCTTTTCGGCAAGGACCGCTTCATACGTCTCTCATGCGCAGCGAGGGGCAAGTGTCTTGAGAACTAAGGCTTGGCATTGCCTTCTGGGGGCCCTGCAAAGACCGGCCTGGTCCCCGACAGAGAAAAAAAACCCAAAGGCAGTCAGTGAAGCAGTGAAGGTCGGGCCAGGGCCAGGACCATCTCAAAGAGAAGGAGGCGCCCTGAAAGCAGGGGAGAGAAATGGAATCCATCCATCGGAATCTGTTTGGCCTTGGACCAGGCTGGAGACCTCCGGCCGGGGACTCAGGCGGAGCACATGGGGCCAATTCCAGAGCTTTCTTCGGATCAAGGCAGGTCCTTCTGCGGCAGAGCCTGGACGTGTGGCTGCAGCAGCCCGGAAGCATGGCCAAGCTTTGTGTGGGTCTTCTGAAGTCTTCTGTCTTCGGTCTGTCCTGAGGATGGAGAGCTCTGCGACAGCGGAGATTGCTCGCGCCGCGGGAATCTGAAAGTCAGGAAAGCTGGAAAACGCGAGCTACTCTGACGCAAGAAGCGCTGCTCAGGTTGTGGCCTCGGCATCCCTGGAGTTTGGGCTTCCTGGCTATCTTTGCAAGCTCGGACAGTTTCTTTGTAGCCTCCGCCAAGGGTGCAGGCTGGCGACCTCAGCGATGCTGCGGCGACGCGCTTCCACGAGGTGCAGCGGCCAGCGAGAGCCTCTTGGCAACAGCAGTGAACTGCGACATGAGTTGCACTCTTTCTTGTGCAGAACTGCCACACGCCAATGGAGAAGGTCTCCGGCCAGTCGGTTGACTGCCTGCAGTCCTACGAGCGCAGCGTGTTCAAAGCACTGGAGAAGCTCCTGGCGGAGAAGTTCCGATTGAAGCCACCCGTGCCAAAGCTCGAGGTATTGCACCCGGCATCTTGCTGCGACGTGCGCTTGGCTCTTCCCGCCTTGAAGCTCGCAGTGGAGGTAGGCCTGAAGCGTGATCTTTTCGAGGGGCCCCGGGAAGCCTGGGCGGATGCCGGCTGGGGACGGACGGCGGAGAGTGAATTAGATCACGGACCAATCCCTGGAGACTTCGTTGCCGCGGGTCTGGACGATGTCCTGGAGGATGCAGACCAAAGATGGTTCAATGTAGATGGCGAGGGAGAAGATCTTGGTGCCGCTACGAGTGTACCGTGGCAGCAGCTGCCAGCTCTTCGAATACGGCTCCTGCGTGCCTCAGGCTGGAAAGTAGTAGAGATTCCATACTATGACTGGCGAAAGCTGGTTAAGTCCGAACAGCAGCAATTCCTGGGCCAGCTGCTGAAAGATGCAGTTCCCGCATTTGCCCAGGCAAAGAGTGATCGAACTGACTTCCGTTTTTCTGCGAAAACAGCTGGGTAGGCGGAGAATTTTGTCCTCTTCGAGAAATATTGTGTTGAGACATGTTTTGATGAGAATCTGAGTGAGAGATGGTGTCAAGTTTATCAAGTGTACTGAGTAGTCAAAGAGGCTCCACAGGGCCAGGATCTGGATGCCCTTTGTCGGCGCCCACAAGACGCGCGGACTGCTGGAAGCTGCATATCAGCCCGCTCGAGGTGGAGGATGGTGGAGGATTCCAGGATTCCGGCGGCGTCTTTCGGCAGCTCTTCCGGGCTATCTACGGTATCGCCTGCAACCTTACTTGGTAGCTCCTTCACGGGCAAAATCTTCGAAAGTGCTCGACATCACCAGGGGTGCTAGGAGTGCCGCATGGCTGGCTTGCAGTGCGGAAGCGTGCTGGTTGCGCTTTCCGCATCGCCCAACTCACACATGCGAGTGCCAGATGGCAAGCAACTAGCAGATCTTGCAAGCATCAAGTGACAAGACACCGAGCAAAAGGTACTAGAACCCAATCAGATCTGGAAGACCAAGAGGGATCTGCCAGGATAGCAGATCTCGCGGACTCCCCACAGATGCATGTTGCCTTAAGCAGCCCGTCTGTGGGCCGTCGACTGTGACCGCCACATTCCGGAGATTGTCAGAAGACATGTCCTGTCCAGCCTTGCCTACATGATCCCATGCTTGCAGAAGGTGTTCAGCGTGCACATCAGGAGCTCCTTTGGCCTAGCTGTCTTTTGACAACAGCGCTACGCAGTTAGTCCTGAGCTTCCTTAGGAAGTTCCTCCCTCGAAGCCATAGGCTCCCGTGTGCGTCATGAGACACTTCGACAGTCAGAGACTTTTCTTTCGAGCTCATCGTGCGCTCCCGTTTTTGATCATTCCGCTGGAAACATCTGATAGCTGCAACGGGAAGGAGAGCCCAGACTGCTACCGATAGTAGTGGGCAAATGCGCGACGAACTTCCGCAAAGGTGCGGTCTGGTTCAGGGTGGCAGAATGCAACGTCGCTGATGCAGAGTCACCCCGCTCCGTCCGATTTCCTGGGTGCTTGACTTGCAAGGCTGAGCAATGGTGTTTTACACGAAACTTGGCTGTTGAACTGTTGTTTTACGTTTACAGCCGGCTCCATATGTTTTGCTATGCCTGCACTACCAGTAAAGTAAAGATGCTGTTGTCGAACGTGTGCCGTGCTTGCAAAGCATGAAGACGCTCATTTGGCAACACCTCAGTAAGAACACGTGAGTTGTGTAGATTCAAAAGAGAACTGGCATGTGTGTGCATGTCTGAAGCAACCTTAAGCGTGTTGTACGTGTTGTATGTGGTTCGCGGCAAGTTAAGTGTCGATGAACGAAAGCTGGCCCAAGTGGGCAATTAGATTCATGCAAGATCATGGAAGCAAGTGCGGTAGACTTTAGACAAACAGGTCGCAGTTTTTGGGACAGCCACTAGCCCACGACAGTGGCACAAACTGTAGCGAAATGCGACATAGCATCTTAACTGTCACCGAATGCCATACATCCGGTGCCCTTAGAGCCAACAACAAGCGCAAGGCAGCTTGGGGGCATGGGCTGGAAGTTGCGGGCTATTGCGGGATTTGAGAAGCTCGTGCAGCTGGTGCTACTTTTGCAACACGATACAAGCACTAGCACTGCAGCACCCCTGCTTGTGGGCTTTGAGCAGGTCCGATGTCGACCCGTGTGGCAGGCTGGAAGTGGCCCACTCAGACTCCAGACCCCCCCTTGCCACCGAAAGCTTTCCGGGTTCGATGATGAGGGGGCTGACCCTACCGCAAAAGCTGATCTACAGCGTGTTCTTGGCGAGCTTGAGCTTTTCATCCATCCAGCTGTGAATCGAGATGCCATCGCTTGCATTTCGCCTGCCAGAGCGCGGTGGTCAACTTGGGGGTGCTGAGCTTTGTTTGGGTCAAGCGCCAGATGAAGCCCGAGCCTTGTCTCGGCGTTTCTTGTAGACCTTGATGTCCAATTGTTCTCCAAGGATGTCAGACAAGGAGCAGAAGGAAGTGGAGGAAATGCAGGCAAGCTGATGCCTTTCTCTGCCGGCTGCCGGCGTGCCAGTAACGGAAAGACTTGACGACACGCAAGGCTACCATGGCCGAGATCGCCACTGAAAGCTGGAGCGAAAACAGCCGATATAGGCGTCTTCCGGCATCCAGTCTCAAGAATCGGAAAAGACCATGCCGCAAACTACGCCACGTGGCATGCCGCAAGTTGCACAGACGGGAGAATCTGCAGCTGCTACCGGAGGTGCTTCTTTGCGGCACAGCAGTACTACCTGTTGAACGCCAACGGCCCGGAGGAGGAGCGCGTGAAGTTCACCAATTCTCTGTGAATGGTTTTTGCATCGATGGGGCAAAGCAGGAGACGGGAAAGGGGGCACAAAAGCTCCTCGACGTGATGGCGCAGTGCCGCGAGGCAGGCACGGCGTGATGCATTGCTCGGTGAGATCGTGTTCTGCTTGCTAGAGGACATCTACAAGAAGATCCCGAAGGACCATGATTGGAGTGCTATGTCCTGTTTTGTACACAGTCATCAGTTAGCATCTCGTGGCACCCGACCCCCTGTGTTCAGTCCTCGAGGACACACCGGCATCGCGGCCACCTACCATGGCTCCTCAATGACACCAGGAAGCAGTTTCACCCCACCGGATAATTTTCAGTCCAGCTCCTGGGCTCGGTGACTCGGTGTCAGTGTGTCGCTAGCAAAACAGCGAAATCCGGCTCCGTGATGCTCCGTGTAACCTGAGAAACTGCATGATCCTTTCACCGTACATGCGATGCTTTTGCCCGCGAGTGGTTCGGCAGCTGAAGGGATGAGCCCTCCTTCCTCCCCGAGATGTCAGGCTGACCCCATTGCAGCGGTTTGCGATTCTCATATTATCCAGAAGGTAAAAAGAAGAACCTGTCGGGAGGCCTCTCTCCGAATGCCTCAGCATCGCAGGCCCGCGCGGCCTTCATGAGTCAGCCAGGGTCCGAGATGGTCCAAGTCCAACCTGCCAAGACCGGCGTGACTTCGGAGTGCCAAGCTGGAAGGTCACCACCATCCTTCAGTCCCATTCGAGAACCTGAGGAGTCTGCAAGCAGCGGTCTCGGATTCCTCGGCTGCCTTTCCGGGCTTTGTCTCTGCAGCGCCTTCCTTGGAACGCTGTCGGTTGGGCGTTCAGCAATAATGAATATAATGAATAGTAATTCGGTCTGGATTTCCCCGCTAGGGCATTCGGCGGTAGCAGCTGTGAGGCGATTCGGAGAGTCGCACACGATGTGCAGAAAAAAGTGAAGAGATGCGCCTGAAGCTCGGAATGAGGAATTTACATCGTGCTTTTGCAATATATCTTGTAGCAGTAGGATTGGTGAGAAGAAGCTCAGTAGCTCTGTGCCGATCCTTCCTTTTGACGATTAGCTGTTGTGTCCAGGCGGTGACTCTGTTCGTCAGCGTCTATTTCAGGACCACGACCAGTGCAGATCCTTTGTGTACCATGTTTTTGAACAGTTGTTTTGAGTTTGTGCCTCCGACAGACCATGCAGCATTGCAACATCATGCGCACGCTTGCAAGCCACCAACATGGACAAGCTTGGGGTCCTAGAGCCCCTCCTGGTTGCTAGGACCTTTCATCTCCGAACGAACGTGGTCTTAGTGCAGCGATGCTTGCCTCAATATTTGGCTGCCGGTGGGACATATGAGTTTTAAATTCAGCTTAAGCAGATGCGTGTTCAGGCTTGTTTTTTGACTTTGAGAGACGCCAAGGAGCACAGATGCCATGATGGTGGATGCTGGTCAGGACGTGAACATGCTTGAGCAGCACTCCGAGCCAAAAGATGAGGAAGCTGAGGAGACGGAGCAGGAGGACGGGGAGGACCCGGAGGACCCGGGGGATCTGGAGGATCCGGAGGAGGAGTCCGAAGAGGAGTCTGAGCAACCTGAGGAAGCAGAAGCAGAGGCGTTGCCGAGCGCCGTCAAGGATGTGGAGCTCGAGACAGCTGAGACGCAGGAGCCACTGGAGACCCCGGACAAGGCCACGGAGGAGGCCGAGGAGCGCTGCCGCGTCCTTTCCTGTCACCCTGCCCCAAGACGCGAAACGTCTCGAAAATGTTGGCCTTGGTGAGCCTCTGTGCCCAAGATCCAGATCAGGCTGAGGAGGGCGAGGAGGAAGCGCTTGAGGACGATCCACCGGAGAAGGAGCAGGCCAGCTCCCGATTTTGCCTGAAGCTGCGGGAAGTTTCTGAAGGGAGAGAGTCGTTGCGCAGGCGGAGGTCGCTGATCGTGCCGACCAGGTTGATCACCAGATCGTCGCGGCAGATGGTGGCCTTGTCCGCCGCACAGTTTTCATGTTGGTAGTTCTCTAAGTAAGGGTCCCGTTTTGTGTTCCCAAGACAGTACGGCACCCTTCTAAGAAGCACCCTAAACGGGACCCTAACTTCGAAAGCTATCCATGTAAGGGAATGTAGTTCAAGCTTGACTTCGTGCCCCTCCCCGGGGCCGCGATGTAGGCAGAGCAGTGGAGCGGCACCTTGCCGCCGGAAGCATCGGCCACGTGGGAGGTCTCCGATGAGGTCCGCCTGTGGGCAGTTTCGCGTTTCATCCTGCGGCACGTTTTTTTTTTTGTGCTGTGTTTGTGATGCGGCGTGTGCGACGCAGGTTTGCTCGCTGCATTTCTCTACGTCCGACATCAAGCTTCCCCGCTCTGTCTACGACCGTCTGTATCATTACCAACGTCAGGGAGTGGTTTGGATGTGGAATCTATACCACAAGGGCGATGGCCTCACTTCATCCTGACGGTGCAATTGCAAGATTTGCCATTCTGTCGTTTTCTGCGAGGCTTTGGTGGAATTCTGGCCGATGAGATGGGCCTCGGCAAGACCGTGCAGACGGCAGCATTCTTGGCCTGCCTCAAGTTCACGAACCAAGGACGAGATGGGGCATGTGCCTCTAATGGTGTTGGCTTCCTGGGGTCATGAACGTTCAGGATCCCGCTTCCTCGTTGTTGTGCCCGTCACTCTTCTTGAACAGTGGCGGCGAGAGCTTGACGCATGGGCTGGCTTCCCAGACACCACTTGTCATGTCGTGGGAGAGACTGAAATCGCGAAAAGGCTGAGAACACCGGCTTGGCGGTCCACGTGATGTACGGTGCTTTGCCCGAGCGGCGTGCAGCTTTGAGGGGCCACGTGCAGTCCTCAGACGTTCGGCGGACGGCATCGTCGCAAGCATCGGATCACGACAGGTTTCTAGCGGTGGTGTTCTGCTCGTCTCCTATGCCGGCAGCCTGGAAACAAACGGAGACGCAAAGGCTACTATTGCGAGTTGCGGCCGCCGTTGTTCTGCTGAGATGCATTGCGATAACGGGTCAACAGTAAGGATCTGGCTCGCACCTGTATTCACCAAATTCGTCGAGACCTCAGACAGCTTTCGATCGCTTCGGTACGCAGAAGCTTGTTCTCATATCTCTGCCTGCAAATATTGCAGGTACGGCGGGGCTGACTGAAGCCAGCGCCTCGCAGTCCCGAAAGCGGAAGAGAAGCACAAGGTGCCGCTTGATGCAGCTCTTTGCCCCCCCGTGTGCCATGCATGTCCTCCTGCTAGGCGTGCCTGCCGTGACGATGACAGTCCGAGTGAGGAAGATGCTGCGTCGCTCCTGGCTTAGCTTTGGCTTTCCCAGCACCAGCCTCCCGAGAAAGTCGCCAGCATCGATTAGGCTGGGTCCTGTCGATGATGAGCAGAAGTATGGACCCCAGATAGACTCGTGAAGCTGACTAAGACTAGACCTTGGCCGCTCCCGTGGAGGCCCTGGGATGTCCTGGTCGTCGACGAGGGGCACCAAATCAAGAATCCCTCGAGTCAGTCTGGCCGTGTGCTGCGCCGGATCAACGCTCGATCACGCCTCTTGCTCACAGGGCCGGGCTCTTAGATTCTGGATGATTCTTGGGGGAGAAAAGTGCAAGCATCGCCCAAGGACGCCGTTGCAGAACAAGCTCAGCGATCTTTGGGCATTGATGGATTTCGCACCGCTCCCTGTTCGGAATGTGCAAGGCATGTGGGAAGTCGCTACCTGTATGTGTTAGGCGTAGATGAGATTCAAAATGTTTGGAAGAGACTGGGGAATGATGAGGCACAACCAGCGCTGCTGGGGAACCATGCCACCTTCGAGAGGTCCGACATGAAACGCGCATCAATCATAAAGCAAACACCCAGCTTTGTGCAGGAACTTCTCGGAACAGATTGCGAAAGGCAGATGATGAGTCTGTGAAATAAGTCGCACCCAGTGCATGCTTTCGCTCAAGGCTCGAAGCGGAATGCTTCTCGATTCGCCGTCGAGCTGAAAGATCACCTTGTGCAAGCCTAAACTCATGCTCAAGAGAAGCGAACTCAAGGACGCCTCTCAGAAGTAAGGCTCACGAGCTAAAACGGCTCACTGCGCCGCATTTCCTGCGGCGACTTAAGTGCGAGGTTGCCAGCATCTCAGGGCTGGCAGGTGAAGTTGACTTCGTTTTGGGCGCTTGTCGTGACCAGGCCAACACTACAAGTCCAGCGGCCAGCTTGGATGCTGCTCCAGGTGAGCTGCCGCCAAAGATGGACGTGATCCTGTCGTTGGCTCAGTGGCGGCCACTAACAGGTTGTATGGAAATGACGGGAGCCGACGGAGCAGTTTCGGCTGAGGTGGCTAAACCTGACCTCTGCACAGCTCGAGCTGTACAACCTTTTCCTCACGAGCGAGCTGGTGTTGGAGACTTTGTCAGGCCTGTGGCAAAGGTTCTCATGGCCTGATTCAGACTCAGGTGCAAGGCCAGGGGAGGAACGAAGTGTGGCATGGAGGCGAGCCAACTCTTGGCTATGTAGACATGATTACGTGGCCTTCCTTTGCAAGGCATTGCGTGCAATAGCAATGCTGAAGAAACTGCCTCTCATCTGCACTACGCTTCCATGTTCTGTTATGTGCTGCTTAGACTGCATGCCCTTGTGTCAGTGATGTCGCGAGCATATGGCTCTGCAAGGTGTGGTCATCCTCTGCTGTGCTTGTTGGAATCTCGGTGCGATGCCATGTGCATGTACAGTGAAGCTACTTTTTTTCGAAGGCCCCAAGACGAGTACAATCAGTGGCGGGTCCGCCGCCTTTTGTTTTTGGTTTGCTTTAAACAGGCATGCCAAGGTGCCTGTTTCGGCTGTCCTCCCGATTTCGTCTCACAGGAAGAGACGCTTCAATCTGGTCGCCAAGCACCTGCTCCAGCTGCCACGGCAGTGCCGCACCAAACTGCGACACAGGACAAGGGAGAGTACGACACTTGATAAAAAGCCCCAAACCACACCAAACGTGATTTGATACTTCCAGGAGGAGCCCGCTGGGACCCAAGAGGCGCTTTGATCCTTCGGTGAAGCGCTGCTTTGCGCATGCGGCCCTATTCTCTCTTCCCCATTGAGTTCCCTCTGCTGAAACATCAGTGAACCATACCTGAGTCATGAGGGGGGCGCATTGGGCGGCCATCTAGGCCCTCATGAAGTAATTTGGCCAAATTGTTGGTGACGGCGTCCCCTCGGACGCCGAGACTGCTTTTTGAAGCTTCCAGTGGGTTTTGGGGTACTTGTTATGGGGGGGAGATGATGACGACATTGTTACACAGACACCCGGAACAATATCCCCACAAGAGCCTTTTTAAACTGTACCTACAGTACTTTTGTGATGTCGGAGCCTCTTATATTGCATGGCTCAACACACCCCGCTCCGCCCCAAGCGCAACTCTGCGGCCCAACACACTCCGCTCCGGAGTCATCAATTACTTCCTCAACAGTTCGCAGCCACACACTAGTGCACACACGTGCTCGTCGGGTATCTATCCTTTAGCAGAACCTGTAGTCGTATGTGTCCAAAACAAACTTTTTCCTGACCCGCTCCAAAAAATGTGTCTAAACGTGTGGGAAATATAGAAAATCGTAGAAAAGTACGCACAGTCTCGGAGATTCTGACACTCTTTATCTGGGCTTTCTAAACCATTCGCACGTTTTCCCGCACGTTTAAGCACATTCCCTAAAAACACTCTTTTCGTAAATCCCACAAAACACATGGCGTCCTACGGGAGCCGCAACCAAGTTTTTCGGCTTAGTCCTGTCTAAAATCGCACAATTTCGCCATGATTGGCCATTTTGGCCATCTGGCCCCCCAAATTTGGTCGCAACACTCAAGGTACTTTGGCTAACCTTCAACATGGCCAGATGCTTGATGTTTAGTCATTTAGGCTCACCAACCATCCCTCCAAACCAGGTTAAATCGAGGCATTCTGGCCAGGTTTAGGGATCGAATTTTCGGGTTGCCATGCTCGAAAGTGCAAAAGTTTGTGTTTTGATCATGTTGTCCCTCACCAACCCTTTCCAAATCTGGCAAAAAGCAAGATATTGTTTGTAACTCTTCTTTGTATTTTCCTCACCCGCCTCGCTAAATGTCGATGTTTTTTGGTAAGTTTGCACTGCTTCCTCCCTCAACCTCCCAAATCATGCCAAAATCCAGGTATTTAAGCACCCTTGCCGGCGTTGGCTTTGCAAGATGGCAGAGTTTCGTGGGTTTCTTGTTAATATAATATAATATAATACAATATAGTATAATAGATTTGAATATAATATAATATGTTTTTTTAGGTCTGACCTAGACCTTGCCGATTCAGCGAGAATGCAGGTGTTTTCAGAAACGTTTAGCGTTCGGCCTCCCCGAGTCACGAAAGTTCCAAAGCCAGCTGTTCTTGCAACACTTTCCGGTTTGGCTTTACCAAAGAGCCCACCAAGCGTAGTATTTTTGCAAAATTTTCGGCTTCTTCGTTTTTCACAACTACCAGCTTTCGCTATATTGCTTTGGATGTCCACAACCTTAGCAAAATCGAGCGTATGTCGAGTATGTTTGCCAACAACAATTTTGGGGGTCATTTTGATACTCCAATTTGAGGTTTGAGGTTTGGCGTCGCGAAGATTGCATTTTCCGTTTCTTCTTTCTGACCCACCTGCCGAAACAAGTCAACATCCTGGTGTGTTGGTCCGATTGTTGGGTTTGGCAATCCCGAAATCACCACCAAATGTCACCGACAAATTTGGGGAAGCAATGTAACATATCCTGTTTTTTGCAGTTGTGACCAGAACCTCCAAGTTTCGACGACATTAGTCACAAATCGAACTATTATGAATTTGCAGGTTGACCTTCCAATATCGACACATCTCGAAGGTTTGCGCATTCTAACCCACAGCGCATTTACTTCAACTCTCATTTGATAAAATGTGCTGAGGCTCACAACAGAGCACGTTGATTTGTTGGGAGCTTGCATGGTCAGGAGCTGCAATCTTCCAACTTTGCGTTTTGCGGAAGCCATGGCTTCGAAAGGGGACCAACCCAAAAGGAATCCCAAACCGGAATTCAACAAGGGAGCCTAAACACTAAGCCGCATCCCAAAAAAGACCGCAACGGGAAGCTCCCAAATCGAACCCTTCAAGAGACCCCGATTGTTAGTGAACCTACAGGGGAACCCAGAACGGAATGCGGACTTACCCAAAAGCAGTCAGAAAGCGCACCCGAAATCCCAAACTCCTTCCAAACCTATCGAACATCAGCGCCAAAGGACCATAGCCAAAAATATCCTAATCGGCTTCAAAAGGCTCTAAAGCTGCCACAGGTCTAGAATCTCAGAGTAAATCTACTCCAAGTGGCAAGAATTGGCTTCTGTCACATTGGCTCCGAAAGGCCAAAAAGGGTTTCAAGCCCGCCAAATTCATGTGCGAAAAGCACATTTCCGAAGAAAAGCCCGGTCCAAGAAGCAGCAGCCACCAACCAGGACACGATACTCAAGCTGGATGTTTCGTCACAGCTTACTTTGAGTTCTGGCTTGACGCCCTTTAGGGTTGGAGACTCTCCTAATGCCGACTCGGCCAGCCAGTGTGCACGCCTGACGCGAGAAACCGCTCGGGCTCCGGAGTAATTGAGAATTCAATTGCAGCGTTTGTGGCAGTTCCCAGTCTAGGTCCTGTCATTTTGTGTCGCCAGCAAAGAGCTTCATCCGTTGCAGCTTCCCCTCTAGTCATCACAGCTGCTGATGCTCTGCATGTGTCCATTTTCTCCCTACCGTGTTCAACTGTTGTGTGCCGTTGTGGCTATTGCCCCTACTTGCCCCCCCCCCCTCCCCCTTTCATGCCACATTGCTTCCGTAGTCGGCAGTTGCGGTGCTTCGGGCAGCTTCAGACTCCGAAGGCGCCTGAGTGCCTCGAGCTTCTGCCGCGGCTTCGGGCGCTCATGATGCGGGCTCAGCCTTTTTGAAGCTTTCGTCGCGGGGAGCCTTCGTTTCAGACATCTGCATCTGCAAAGGCTCCCAAGCTTTCTTTTGAGTCCCGGAGGCCGAACTCAGTTCAGGGCGCTGCGCTGCTCTCCACGAAGCTGCGCGTCCTCTCAGTCCTTCTTCCGCAGCTTCAGCGTCGAGGCCCGCGCAAGAAGGTGTTGAACGTGATTCCATGAGCCGTCAGCGTAGTCGAGGCCATCGCTGCCTTATCTTCTCTCAGAGTGTTCGCATGCTGGACCTCATTCAGGCCAGGGCCAGGCTCAGACTTTCTCGCGGCCGTGAGAGCGTGTTCTGTGAAGGGCTGTGTTCTGAGAGTGCTGGGCCTGAAGTTCCTGCGCATCGACGGCAGCATCGACCCGAAGGACCCATTTGCGTGTCATAGCTGTCAACGTCATTTTCAGATGCGCATGCGTGCTTAGGACCGCGATGTCAAACTGCAAAAGTTCCAGCAGGAAGACTCTCGGTATTTCGCTTTGTGCGTGGGGCCCAGACGACCGGATAATTGTACGACATCGCAGGGCTATTCTGCCATGTGCATTCTCGTTTCGTGTCTTTATATCACGGAAGGTGTTGCTTAGCTTTGTTGCCTCACTTTGTTGTAACAAGCAGCTGTACTTCTCGCATTGCCTTTACCGCAACATACAGCGCATTGAGCCAACGGAAATGACTCAGCGCCTGAGGCCCGCTTTTCACAAAGCTGGGCATCCTAGTTTGGCTGTGGCACAGTCCCTTCCCGAGCCCACCCTCGCTCTTTCACCCGCTTCCCGTGCTGCGTTGGCATTAGTTTTGTTTCTGTTCCCGCGCCCCTGTCTCCTTCCTCCTGCTTGCCTCAGTTCGTGACATGCAAACAGTGAACAGTTCGGCCATTCTGAAGTTGGTCTGCCTTCATACACATTCGAGCCCCTCCTGCCCTGAGAAGTGCGGCTCTCTCGCGATGTGCATCCTGTGTACAGCATGCATGTAGAAGCGACCGGATAGTCACCGAACGCTCATGCTGAACGTGTTTGGGCTGCGGGAGCACAAGCTACAGCAGAGGGAAAGACACAACAGTGCAGAACAAACGGGTTAGTGCTGCTTCCGCGAGTTCGAGTGGCGAAGGACTTTCCCGGGGGATGATGGATTTAGAGAAGCATACACACATATCTCCCTCTCTCTCTATGTGTATATATATATACATATATATATATACATATATATATATACATATGTATATATCTATGAATGAAGGTCTGAGCTGTCTAGGCGTCTGAGTGCCTCAGTGTCTAGGCATCTGAGTGTTTGAGTTTCTGAGTCAGTGAGTGTCTGAGTGTGTGAGCGTCCGAGCATGTGAGAGTCTGACTGTCAGAGCGTCTTAGTGTTTGAGCGTCTGAGCATTTTGAGTACATTTGAGTGATTCTGAGTGTCTGTTTGACAGATCAATAGAAACCCCCCCCAATATGCCAGTTGAAGCAGTCGCATCATCTATTGCAAAAGGTTGCATCCCTCCTGGCACTCATTTGCTGGAGGGTTTGCACGGTGGTGCGCGGCGCGATTTACGAGGGTCTGAAGTCACACACACACATACTATAAGTGTCTAAAGGTGGCTATTTGAGTATTTGTGCGCATCTATGTGTCCTGCCGAACTGCCTGCCTGTCCGTTTGTTGGCATCTTGGTCTGTAGTACCGAGGTTTGAGCATGCAGGTTGGCGGAACGGGCTTGACTGTAACGGGTGCCAACCGTGTCATCCTCATCGACCCGGCATGGAATCCTTCTGCGGATGCGCAAGCGATCGACCGAGTTCATCGAATCGGGCAGAAACGGGAGGTGCCAGCATGTGGGGCGCTTTAATGGCTGGTTCTTGCTCCATACATGCTGCAGGTGGTTGTCTACAGGCTCATCGGCTCTGGGGCAATCGAGGACAAGATGTTCAGACTCCAGATCTTTAAGGGAGGCTTGTCCAAGACCTTCATGGAACATGAACAGCAAGTTCGATTCTTCACCCATCAGCAGCCCTGAACTCAGTTTCATCCAGCTTCAAACAGACCATACACATTGGCACCCGCGTGCGTGTGTGTGTGTGTGTATCCACACGTGCTTTTGGGTGGGGGCCCCGACGCGTGAGGTTGAAATCACTCTTCGAACCACCGAGCCAGCCATCCTTTCGTGCTTCGACTCCTGCAGCTGTCCAAACTCAACCAAGAAGCCCTCGACTGCCAGGTCTGCTTCCACACAGTCCTTGTTGGCTGAGCAAATTGGGACAGAGGCTTTGGAGCATGAGGATCTGCTCCGAGCAGTGCGCTTAGCTACACTTTCAAAGACTGCCGAGACATGGCACAAAGCGGCTGAGGTGGTGGCGGCGGACGTGGGAAGCACGGATGACCCACAAGCCCTAGCTTTCTGGCAGAGCTCCGACGTCTTGGGCTTCTCTGATTACCAGCGACTCTTCATGTTCTTGGAGCAAGCTGACTCCGCAGAGCAGGAGGCCGCGATCGGCGAACTGACCGTAAGTATTGTTTTTCGGCTGGTGACGAGGCGGTCGAGCAGGCAAAAGAACTGGCGGCAAAGCGGGGTACCCGGCTTCTTCATCCGGTCCGCAGCAACACTCGGTTCTTCCCTCTATGTTTGATCAAAGGTTAAAAAATGAGGAGTACGTGAAAGATCAGGCGGGCAAACGGAAGTGACTTCCGTGCGTGTGCCCTTAGTGCTCTGGGTACGTGTGGATCGGGCCGGAGGTTGTGCAGGGAAAGTGGCGAGGCGATCGCTTCGCTGCCAAAGAGAACGTGCCGGGCGATCCCAGTGTGTTGTGATCTTTTCCTTTTCCCTGTCTTCCCAGTGTCCAGTGTCCTGTGACATTACGCTACAATTGAGCCCTGGCTTTGTAATGAAGTAGATCTGCTCCTTGATGTTACAGTAAGCTTGATGGACACCCAGCGGCACAGATCGTCACCCCGAGGGCTAGTTGCAAGTAAGTTGGACATGCAAAAGCACAGAGCCCCGTCCAAAAGGAGCTTCTTCAGGCTTACGCCGGAGCCACTGGCCGGAACTCCAGGGCTGGGTGCGTCGGATGTACAGGCAACAGCAAGAGCGACAGTCTCAGCAACTCAACAAGCCATGTGCTAAGAGGAGAATGGTGGGGGGAGCCCGCATGACAAAGCTTGAAGCTTTGTATGACGATCATCGGTTGTCAGCTCCGTTCAATCCGCGCTTCTGTTGACACTGCTGTGTGTTGATCTGAAATAAAACCTGACGAGTTTGTGCCCTTGCTGCCTTCGTTGGTCTTGGTTGACACAAGTGGTACTGGCTGCTGACACTGTGCGATTCCACGGTCCCATCTCTGACTGATCGCGCATCTTCATATTTGGACGCTCACAGAGTTCTAGGTGGAGGGCTGAGAGAGAAGTGCTTGCTGCTGCTACAGGTGGCAGGTATTGCAAGGTTCCACAGTGTGCAGAGGACATGCTGGTTACGGAATGAGAAATAATCGGCAAAAGGAAACACCGGCAACATGGCAGACTTCGCTACTGTCGCCGCTCTCGAGTCCGAGATAAATCGAAGGAGTCTTCTGTGGTATTCCCTAGTATTCATGGTGCACCTTCAAGCCAATCTCCAACAGCATCTGCTGTGACAAGAAGGTCGAATGGTGCTGGTTTGAGTGCATGGTGTCGAGGTCACCTCAAGTGTCGGAGCCGCTGAAGAATGCGTGAGATCATCCGCTGCCTTTGCTTTTAATCTGCAGGTTGCGGAAACCCATTGTAGGACTAGCTGAACCCTAATTCGGCTGCAGCAGCAGCGAGTGCTTGCTCTGTCGGCAGCAGTTAGAGGTATGTTGCGGGAGTCCAGTAGTGCAGCCAACTGGGGGCCACTTGGCTCATTGCACTGGATTCCACGGGCAACGAAAAGGTGCGTCGAGCGGTGCGAAACCCGGATGTGGAGCAGTTCATGACGAGAGAGACTGCGGAAGTTCATCGAAGGCCTTGGCTTTTGTACAAAACTTTCCAAGCTTTGGAAGCAAAGCTAACGGCACGGTGGTCTGCCTACCGTCCCATTCCTAGCCAAAGCTACATCCTAAAACCATGCAGGTTCTACATGGAACTCAAGGGCTCGCAACAGAGAAAGTGGCGTGAATCGCGTTCTTGTGTGTGCAGATGTGTCGACAACCTCGACCAGAAGTGGTTTCTTTGGTTTTAGCAGTTGTGTAGCTGCACCTGTTGCAGCCTTAGAAGCTTTTGTTGCTGGGTTTGAGGGGTCAGCGTGTGCCACCTGGTCCCAAGACACCGTTTCGGGTTAGCGTCAGAAGTCGTGAGGCCACTGCTCGTTTTGCCGTTAGGCGCGATAGTCCCAAATTGCGTTTTTTTGTTCTGTCCAACGTCGGGGGAAGAAATGAGAGGAGAATGATGAAGGGTAGAGTAAGAGACAAGACATCAATATGATCTTTTTTCTATATAATCAAAGAATAAACATATATACGCTGCTTCAGAATATATTGATGGCCTGCTTTCTTAAATTTTTTACTATAATGATAATAGACAGAGATAAATAAATATGTAAAATAATTTTGATTTCTTTCATTTTCTTTGATATAATATTTTCATATATTAATTTTCATATAAAGGCTCTATAATATGAGAAATTAAAAATATTAGATTTAGCAAAGGAATAATTATAATATATTTCTAAATTGATATATTGTCGCTACGAAAATATTAAAATTTAGAGATTTCGTGTTGTTAAATTCTCGAGAAATTTAATATTTCGTAATATCTTTATTATATTATCGCGTAGATCTGACTAGCTTATAGACCGGAATGCGGAAATGTAAGAGATGGTCGCGGGCGGTGAGTGAGGAATTCGTGTGAAGATATACCGAGGAGAATATTGTGGAGTGATGGGCGAGGGTATTTGGAGTCGAGAAGGATGTCGTAGAATGGAGGATGGAGACATATATATTGGGGACACATGAGGGCGTAATTTGTGGGGCATTTCGTGGAATGGTGGGCGAGGGCGAAGAGGGATATAGGCTATTAGGAGAATGATTATATGGGGATATTTATGAATTGCGAAAAGAAATGAGATATAAATTGTATCGATAAATAAACAAATGAATTTAGATATACATTAAAAATAAAAACGATATATATACGATCTATCGAATATTGAGATTTATATTATATTATCTTCTATATATATATAATAAGAATATATACTGATATATATATATGAGTCGCTACATTTATTTCTATTCTAAGCTAATTATGGTATTTCGAAACTTTTGTTTCGTTTTATTATATTAAATATTGGCAGAATATTTTGATCCCATTGAAATATCGTTAATAATAGCCATTTAATTCGAAGAATTATATATGTTCATTAATAATACTAATAATAATTAGTAATAATATTTGCACTAGTATTAGTATTGGTACTAGCAGAAAAAAAGTAATAGTAGTAGGAGAAGTCGTCGTAGTAGTAGTAATAGTAATACTAGTCGTCGTCTTCGTCGTTTTTGTCCCCTACAAAAGAAGCGACGAACCCACGGTCATAAATATACTAAAAGATAAAATTCTAAAGAACACCAGACCCAACCCATCGCTTCTCGCAGAAAATTAGATGTACTCTATTCTTCAACAGTTCTACAAATTCATTCTAGTTGGAAAGGTTGTATTTAAACCTATATCAGACAGATATATATATATGCAACTTACGATTTCACAACGCTATACAAGCTCAAAGCTCCACTCCAGCTAGCTATATAAGGACGGGCCACATTCAAGTTGCACGATTTGTCTGTCTTCAGATCTATAATTCTACACTTGCTTTTGAGGACAACCGATACAGGTGTATCGAGAAACAACCAACCTGCCAGAAAACCTCTTTTGAAGGATCACCACGCCTGACCGTCAACCCATCCCTGCACAAGCCATTAGGTGTATGCTACAGTGGGGTCAGCAAACAGGTCGGACAGTGTCTGTGAGGTGCATCCGGTTGTTGCTTATTTCTATGTGAACCCACCCACCAGAGACCGACCAGACGCGGACAGGAGAGGGCACAAGGACAGGCAAAGCGGGCAAAATAGTGCAAGTAAAACAAGGGTAAGGACAGCAGGGCAGGGCATGTGCAGCGCGTGCAGGCGAGGATGGTTGTAGGTATGTGTATGTGTGTGTGGGACATATGATATGTAATATTCAAATTTTTTCTCATTGTTATATTCTTCGGGCTTTCCTCGATGAGCACATCATCATCACCACTTTCAACACGAGCATGCACTTTGTCATGTAGCATCCAACGAGCACGACGACGACGGTTCACGTATGTCACGTCATCATGTCCAATGTCGTCACCACCAGTTGTGTCCTGACTGGGGAGGGCGAGGGAGAATGCTTCAGGCTCGGATTTGCTTCGTTTCAACGGGAAGAAGCTTCTAAGAATGGTTTGTTTATCTCGGGTGAGGGGGTATATGTTGAACCCAAGAATTGATAGGGTTTCGTGTAGTTGAGGCGGGATTGGTCTATTTCGGGCTGGGCAAAAAGCACTAATACTGATACGAGTGATCTCTGGTTCTCCGATGAGCTTACTACAATATGGGGTCCTTTTATCAAATAGAAGTGGTCTCAATCCCACGTCAATCGATATCCGATGACCCTCGAATTTCTCAATGGCTTTCCCTGCTGTGCTCGAAATCCAAAAGCCGCAAGCTCTCTCGCCGCTGCTTGACACAATACCTGAAGTCCCCTGAACCCGAGTGTCAATGTGGACCTCAAATTTTCCTCCTACTCTGATCCCTATGGAGTGGAACTGCAGGGTGGGCAGCTTGAGTCTAACAAAGGTAGTGGCTAGCTTGGTTAGGGTAGGAAGCTGTTTAGTCGCTACTGTGGTATTAAAGGACGATCTTGGAGACACTCCAAGAACAATGAATCCTTTCTTTGTTGGGGGGCGAGGACCAGAGTTTGGGGGGTATTAAACCATACACGGAGTCCAGGTCAAGTGAGGGGGAAGGTTCATGGTCGAGAAGTAGCTTCTGTAATGCAGTCTCAGCTTGTTGTTCGGCGTCAACGACTGACATCCGTGGTACCCAGACGTAGGGTGGTGCGGGTTCCTGCACTATAATAGAAATATTGTTATTGAGCCCAAAGGAACTGTCGTGGAGGGACTTGATAAGTTGGCGCACGTTCGTCGCACGAGGTTCAAGTCTTGATTTTTTGTTGTAGTACAGGCTTGCGAAGTAGTTCGTGAATTACAGGGAACAATACAGACATGCGGGGCGCAAGATTTTAGCGCTGTGAATTAGTCAGAACAAAAACTGTGCAGGTTCATATACATGATCGGTAGTGGTATCGAACACTCCTCGGCCATAGATGTCCAACGTCCTTAGTGCCACTGTCTCCGCGATCCTGAGCTTGGTTCGTCATTATGCGTCGTCGTCTCAGACCCCGAGGGCGCCGAGGTTTCTTGGACGTCCTTACGCTCGTCGTCGGCACCTTGGTCCGAGGCAAGTATGCTCCGCAGGGACAGAAGTCTGTCATTATTTTTGTCGATTTTCTGGTTCATAGCCTCCTGGTTCTGCTGGATCGCGATGGTTGTAGCAAAGAACTATTGAGACATCTCAATTAGCATGCTATTTGTATTGTAAACATTCAAACACAGCTCTTCCGCAAATTCCGCCAAATTGTCAACGGTGGCTTGTGTCTGGGTCATGGACACAGTCATGTTGATACATATCTTCTCGACTGCTTGGTTCTGTTTATTAATGGATTCCTGAATTTTATCGCGTTACATAATAAATTT